TACCACCTAAAGTATCATTATATCATAATGATGATTTCAGTAGCTCCAATATTTTTAGCTTCAAGAATTGAAGAGAAAATACCAATGTTTAATTCTTATGGTTTTTGGAACCAAGCACTGAATGAAGCAGACGCCTTGGATACAGATTATAATATAAAAATAAGAAGATGTGGTATGATTGCCAATGAGACTACTCTCCACAAGAGACCAAATGACATAGAAATCAACAACTGTAGGTCACCGTACGGCCTTCAATAATGAGCAAACCAATACCGGATAGTCAGCTATGAACGGCCCCGAAATGACAAATGCATTACAATTCAAACGAGAAAACTAACGGCCTTTTGTATGTACAAAATAATGAACGAAAAACAAATATAATATATAACAACACACGGCAACCACTGAATTACAGGCTCCTAACTTGGGCCAGGCACATACAGGATGTGGCGGGGTTAAAATAATTTGAAGGCGCTAACCCTCCCCCTAACCTGGGACAGTGGGGTAGCAGTATACCATAAAAACAAACTATAAAATTAACTCATCAGATCGATACAAAGCAGAAATACATCTAACAAAAAATACAGACCGGACGTTGCAGAGTACTTATACATCCCCACAACAAAAAAGACACTAAGTACAGATCTGAGAGAACTCGCAGTTACTGACAGCTAGTTCAAAGCCATGAATAACTAATAAAAAAGTCATGCATCTAAGACTAAAATATCAATCAGTACACATCCAACATCCAATGGATTTAGTGTAAAGACGTCATTAACAATCAGAGAAAAACATGACCTTGTGCAATGCAAAGTTACAGGTATCGACAGATTGCAGAGCCATGAATGTGTATACGTATATAAAAATAATATTTAGTTTGATTTTAATTTACTGATAACAAACTCAATATTAATACCAATAAAAACAATATTCAAAGATTTAATTACAGTGTTGAATTGGTAACCTTTTAGAATAAGTTTATTTAAAGAATCGATAAGTTTACCCGGATCGTATCTAAATTTCCGTGCTCGGAAAACAACATCTCCGTAAAAATAAGGATGTGCTTTCCCGTTTGAAATAGTTGAATAGTACAACCAAACTTCCAAACCTAATCTTTGTATCTATTAAAGAATTTAGTAAAGGTTTTAAGTAATTTGTGGTAACTAAATCCCTGACTTAATAATTTATCAGTAATACATAGATTACGTTCATTGAAATCCAAAACGTCACATCAAACACGAGCATAGCGAACAACTTGTGATATATAAACACCGTAAGATGGTGCCAAAGGAATATATGGGTCATTTCAAAAAAATGTCGAATTTTCAGTACACCTATGCTAAAAATGTTATTTCTAAAGGAAAATGCAGTTGTAAGTGTTTAAATGAAAGTTTGTAGAATTTATGAGTCAGAACATTAATAATAAACACGATTTAGATCTATTTTGATAAGATTAAAGTATATTTAAGTCCGATTTTTGCGTAATTTTTGTGCGTACAGTGTCAGGGTAACACATTTCAAATGATTGTTTCCCTATTTTCTGATTGCCTTGATGTTAGGTTTATTAGAAAGAGAAAAAAAAATGCTGAACATTATAAACTGCTATCTTAGACTTGCATTGCTGGTGGTTATTTTTATAACCCTTGAAAACCAATTTTTAGAGGCATTTTTCAATACGACGTGGAAAATTGACACAGAATGAAAATACATAGAAGTTTTTAATCTTGAAAACCATCTTATTGGCTATGAAAAACAAGCTTAACATTTTATCGAAACCTTTTCTAAATAACCCGAAATTTCTTTTGAATATGGTAACAGGAGAGACAAAATATTGCACCACCTATCAAAAAATGTTTCAATATATTCTTGTATGACATTATCAAGATTGCATCTTTTTTATATGTTGTTCCATACGTACTGTTTGTTTTGATTTGCTTATGAAGAGGGTTGATTGAATTAGTAACTTTAAATCAATTATGCAATTTAAAAATTCGACATTTTTTAAAAATGGCCCATATATAATTCTAGTTTACGGTTTATATTTCAATTCTACAGCAGAATCATTTTTTTTTTTGTGTGTTATTTTTTTTTATTTTTTTTTATTCTAGATATGTGTCATTATTTTATTATCGGTCTTAAATACAGAGGCACAACATGCAACAAATGTTTTACAATAAACATACGTACATGTATTAAGAACGATAACTCTAATTTTCTCCAAATTAAGATCCATGAATAATCCAATGACCTATATCAGTATGAGATTAACCATAATTAATATAAATATGATTTAAATAGACTATTTTCATATTACCGACTTTTGACTCCGGATTATATAATTTGTCGACTGGTTACCTTGGACATCATGGTACCACGTCAGGTAAGAGCAAGCTAAAGAAGTAAAACCAAGCGTTCAATCGGTACAATTTTTGGGAAAAATTACTCGCTTTACATTTTTTTTTCACTACAAAATCATCGGAAAACCGTAAACTTTCCCCTCAAATTACACCGATTAAATGTTTGATTTTACTTATATTGGTTGCTCTTACTTGACCGAGTACCATGATGTCCAAGGTAACCAGTCGACAAATTATATAGTCCGGAGTCAAAAGTCGGTAATATGAAAATAGTCTTTGTAACTTGGGTTTGTTTTTATCTCTATTGATTTATGAGTTTCGAACAGCGGTATACTACTGTTGCCTTTATTTTATACAAAATTATAAATGTCTGTTGTCTTTATTCTGCAAACAAACCTTTAAAGAATGCTCACAGTTACCAAGGCCGGATTCGAAAAAAATAAAAAGTCAATTGAAGGTCTTTCCACATCAATTTTCTAAATAATTGATAAATAGCTACTTCTTGTTTACTCAAAGCTACTATTGGCGTCCAATCATAGGTTTCTTCATACTGATTCAATTAACATATGGTTTCTATAGACTTTTGCCTGAAATAAGGGAGATAATTGCCAACTTCCGGTTTAGAAAATGTCACTTCTGGTCTCATATGATAGCTTTATTTACACTGATTCCAAAAATATATGGTTTATATATACTTTTGCCTGTACAAAGGGAGATAATTCGCTACTTCCGGTTTAGAAAATGTCACTTCCGGTCTCATATGATAGCTTTATTCACGATGATTCAAAAAAATAAAGTTTGTATATACCTTTGCCTGTAATAAGGGAGATAATATGCTACTTCCGGTTAATAAAATGTCACGTCCGGTCTGAAATGATAGGTTAATGTATGACCATTCAAAAAATATATGGTTTCAATGCACTTTTACATGAAATAAGTGCAAAAATGACTACTTCCGGTTCAACCAAAGTCATTTCCGGTTGACATATTTCAAGGTCATATGTCACTTAACATTTTGCAAAAGATCTTATGGCTTTATCATGTACCAATCTGAAGAAATAATCAATTTACGTTAAAATAAAACATTTCAGGGGCAATAACTCCAATAAGATGTCACTGGATTTTCTAAGACCAAATGTATCATATCTTCATCCCAATATAACAAACATTTTGCACTAGTTCTTATATATATAACGTTAAAAATATCGGAGAAAATGCAAAAACAAGCAAAAGACAAAATTCAGAACATGACCTTGATCTTTGACCTTGACCTAATTCTCTAAGTTAGGACCCAAGGACCTCAAATAAAGAGACTATAGGTTTATACAGCTTACGGTTTACGAGTTACAAAAACTTTACGACAAATTTATTTGATAAAGGAAGATACCTCCTATAAGATTTTCACCAGATCAATTCGATCCAAATCAGCCAAAAATTCCTGAGGATGTAATGAACAAATATGAAAAAGAATTTTGTTGTTATCTTTTTTGGTTACGGAGAAGATACACTAACAAGAAAAACAGTGTTTGGGGAGATAACTCTTACAATAAAAAGCCTTCGCCTTAACAAGATGAGTTTTAAAAGTGCAATAACCGTTTGATATAATATCCAAAATATCTAAGCGACATCTTACGAAACAACTTTATAGAGCAAGAAAAGGGTTTGGCTGAAGAAGAAGAAAAAAAAATAATGATTATAAATAAAAACCAATTGTTCAGAGAACAATTAAAGGTCTTTCCACAGCAATTTTTAAATTTATTGAAAAGAAGCTAGTTCGTGTTTAATCAAAGTTAAAATTGTCATCTTATCATCAGTTTCTTCATACTGATGCTATAAATAAGTGGTTTCTATATACTTCTGAGTGAAATAAGGGAGATAATTAGCTACTTCCGGTGAAGTAAATGTCACTTCCGGTCTCATATAATAGTTTCTTTCACACTGATTCCAAAAATATATAGTTTCTATATACTTTTGCTTGTAAACCAGGAGATAATTGGCCACTTCAGGTTTATCGAAAGTCATTTCTAGTCTTCAGTAATAAGTTGATGTATTAAAATTACAAAATATATGGATTCTGAGTACTTTTCCATGAAGAAGGTGCAAACATGGCTTCTTCCAGTTTCTCAAGGTCACTTCCGGTTGTCATTTTTCAAGGTCATATGTCATTCAACCTTTTGTAATAGGTCATATGGCTTTATAATGAACCAAGTTGAAGTAATAATCAATTAACCTTATAATTAGACATTTCAGGGGCACTTACTCCTATAAGATGCCATTAGATTGTTTCAGACCAAATGTAACATATCTTCATTACAATAAAGCAAACATTTTGCACTTGTTGTTTCATATGTATCTTTAAAAGTGTTTGAGAAAATGCAAAAACAAGGAAAAGTCAAAATTGAGAACTTGACCTTGATCTTTGACCTTGACTTCATTTTCTAAGTTAGGACCTAGGGACCTCAAATAAAAAGATTCCAGGGTTATACGGTTAACGGTTAATAAGTTAAAAAAACATACCGACAAATTTATTTGGTAAAGGTAGATAACTCCTTTAAAATTTCATCGAATCGCTTCAATTCAAATTAGCCAAAAATTCCTGAGAAGGTAAAGAACAATTTCGAAAAAGAATTTCGTCAATATCTATTTTTGTTACGAAGGAGATGCACACACTTGATAAACAGTGAATAGGGAGATAACTCTTACAAAGAAAATTGTTCGGCTTAGAATGGGTGAAAATAAAAAGCGCATAAACTGTATTATACTATATAAGAAATATCTAAGCGACATATTGCGAAACAAAAAATTTACGCGATAACAAAATTTGGCAGAAGAAAAAAATAATAATCAGAACAAATACAATAGGTCTTTCCAAAGAAAAGTGGAAAGACCTAATTACAACCATTTTTTTTTGTCAAAATATGGTTCCCCTACATCAAACCCTGGATCCAACTGGTTACTGAAAGCAAGATCAAAGTGCTTAATCTGATGATAAGAAATAATAAATTTTGTCTATGACGCATGGTTATACTAAGAAGTCCCCCAACAGTTCAAGATAATACAAACACGTACTTCTTGCCATTTACATAACTCATAGTTGTGTGTTCTATGTCTTATGCTTGCTTACACATGAGGCTTTTAAAGAAGCTTAGAAAGAAAGCATCGACGTACGGGTTAAACATGTTTCATATCGGATCGCATCAAAACTACTGGAAATATGTTTGATATCGTGTTTCAAAAATAATGTTAATCAGGCCAAGTGCATAAATAGTTTTAGAGCATCGAAATCAAACGGCTTTAGCAGTATAAGAAAAACGACATTTGCCTTAGGAAGTAGCTAACGGAATATTTTAGTATAACTACATAATTTAATTTACAACAATTTACAAAGGGAAGTACACTGTAGAACTGATGTAGTCTACTACAGCAGCAATACTAACCAAACTGTTGTAAAAAAACGCTTTATATCGATTCCGATGCGCAAGACGCACGTTTCTGGCATGACTTTTATCAGGCTTGCTCGAAAACAAAGTTTTGGAAGCCAATGATATACACATTTGTGACGGCAGAAAAACTAAATGGGCCTAAACAGTTTAGTTAAACATAATTTGAAAGACGAAAAGGTTTAAATTGTAAGACATTTTCAGATTTCACATTATTTGCACACAAAAAGGTTATCATTCTCTAACCTATCCGTAGCATTACAAATAATCAAGATTTAACCTATTTCCAGTTAGCAAACTACTCATAAAACTGAAAACAGAAACTTGCGAAAAACTAAGGATGTTCTACCCAAGGAAATGATAACCTTAGCTGTATTTAGCAAAACCTTTCGGAATTTTGGGTTCTCAATGCTCTTCAACTTTGTACTTTAATTGGCCTTTTAACTTTTTTGATTCGAGCGTTACTATTGTAGACGAAACGCGCGTCTGGCGTACACAATTTGAAGCCTGGTACATATGATGAGTTTATTTGCTTGCAGATTCAGACGACTTCTATATGCACAACGTTGGGGGCAAAAACCTAACATATTAAAACAGCATACCTCCAAATTTGGAAATACTAAAGGAAAAATAGACTAATTGAAAAATATGGAGCAATCACAAGAGAAAATTATTCAGATTTCAGACCTACCTAGAGTATAACTATGTTGCAATAGAGTGCATTTTGGAAAAGCTCCTTTATCATAGACAATGTGCATATATACATAATACTACAACTTACAAGTAAGAAATCCATATTTTTCAGATAAAAAGCCAATATACACGAAAAAGAAAGCAGTTGGATGGCTCTGAACTCATAAATTTAAACTAGGTGCGACGGGGGGGAGTATTTCCAGCTAACAAGCACCAACCTGAACAAAATGTTTTACGATCGCTCTGGTGACTTAGTAGACCGTTATGGGATATTTTCTGTATTACTAATGCCTCCAATTATGTTCATTTTTATTTTGTAAAAGCATAAAAACAACATTTCAAAGAAAAAAAACACAAACATGTCTTTGCAAAATCTTGAACCTAACTTGCATATTGTTCTTTGTTTTAAACTCTTAACATATACTGCATACGCAACAACAGTCTAACCTCTGTAAATAAGGAGCACATTCGGAAAACCCACCAGAGATTTTATTCCATTGAGAAAGATAGCTCTGTCAGAAGGTGCATGGACTACAGAAAAATAAAAGATGAATGTATTTGATAATGAATTGATAATTGATATCAACAGTACCGATTTAACTGCATCAGATGCGCATTTCGATAAGCAATGACTTTTCAGTGATGCTCGGAGCCAAATTTTTCCAATTGAAACGTCTTTGATTGTCATATGCAATGATCTTTTTCCTGTTTCCTCAAAGTGGATACTGGCAGATAAAACTAATAAAACGGCATTTTTCAACTAAATATTGATTTTTCATTTATACCAAATCAGACAATTAATTCCCATCAAGCTATAAACGTCGGAAAACAAACATGCCCCTATACTAGCATCATCGTGTGGATTTCCTAGCTACATAGCAGCGTTTAGTGTTCTGGGACCTTTTTCAAATCAATTTTAAAAGATGAATGAAGGAATATCAGTTATGTAATAAATATGCACATAACCTTACCGAGACACATGTTGACCAGTTAATGTCTAGAATCACCTTACCGATAAACACACGTTGACTAGTTAATGGCTAGAATCACCTTACCGAGAAACACATGTTGACCAGCTAATGGCTAGAATCACATTACCGAGAATCACATGTTGACCAGTTAATGGCTAGAATCACCTTACCGAGAAAAATGTTGACCAGTTAATGGCTAGAATCACCTTATCGAGAAACATGTTGACCAGTTAATGGCTAGATTCGCAATTCATCCGGAAATCAATACCAATCAAGGAATTAAAACCTTTGAAGGCTCGATATCCGTCATTCATTGTTTCGCCATAAAAATATAACAAAACTCTGACATGACTAAGTATTGGATTTATATATAACCATTAACATAATTAAAAACCAATTGTTCAGAGAACAATTGAAGGTCTTTCCACAGCAATTTTAAAATTTATTGAAAAGAAGCTAGTTCGTGTTTACTCAAAGTTGAAATTGGCATCTTATCATCAGTTTCTTCATACTGATGCGATAAATAAGTGGTTTCTATATACTTCTGAGTGAAATAAGGGAGATAATTAGCTACTTCAGGTGAAGTAAATGTAACTTCCGGTTTCATATAATAGTTTCTTTCACACTGATTCCAAAAATATATAGTTTCTATATACGTTTGCTTGTAAACCAGGAGATAATTGGCCATTTCCGGTTTATCCAAAGTCATTTCTAGTCTTCAGTGATAAGTTAATGTATTAAAATTACAAAATATATGAATTCAGAGTACTTTTCCATGAAGAAGGTGCAAAAATGGCTACTTCCGGTTTTCTCAAGGGTCACTTACGGTTGTCATTTTTCAAGGTCATATGTCATCCAACCTTTTGTAAAAGGTCATATGGCTTTATAATGAACCAAGTTGAAGTAATAATCAATTAACCTTATAATTAGACATTTCAGGGGCACTTACTCCTATAAGATGCCATTAGATTGTTTCAGACCAAATGTAACATATCTTCATTACATTAAAGCAAACATTTTGCACTTATTGTTTCATAGATATCTTTAAAAGTGTTTGAGAAAATGCAAAAACAAGGAAAAGTCAAAATTGAGAACTTGACCTTGACCTTTGACCTGACCTCATTTTCTAAGTTAGGACCCAGGGACCTCAAATAAAAAGATTCCAGGGTTATACGGTTAACGGTTTAAGAGTTAAAAAAACATACTGACAAATTTATTTGGTAAAGGTAGATAACTCCTTTAAAATTTCATCAAATCGCTTCGATCCAAATTAGCCAAAAATTTCTGAGGATGTAACGAACAATTTAGAAAAAGAATTTTGTCGATATCTTTTTTTGTTACGAAGGAGATGCACACACTTGATAAACAGTGAATAAGGAGATAACTCTTACAAAGAAAATTGTTCGGCTTAGAATGGGTGAAAATAAAAAGCGCATAAACTGTATGATACTATATAAGAAATATCTTAGCGACATATTGCGAAACAAAAATTTTACCCGATAACAAAATTTGGCGGAAGAAAAAAATAATTATCAGAACAAAAACAATAGGTCTTTTCACAGAAAAGTGGAAAGACCTAATTAAGTGTATACAGAAGTACCGCAGATTTTCTGACAGGTTGCAGATAAAAAGAATGAATGTTGCGACAGAAAGTGAATCTACCCAATTAAATGACACATCCAATGTCTGGTCTTTATGTACATAAACCTGTTAATGGTCGTGTAAAAGCTTGGAGAGTTCATATGAAGGAAATATACCAAGTACCATGAGAGAAATTTGAAATGACAAAAATGAGACGATACGAGAATAAATGACAAACCATTTTATCATACCTCTGGTGGTGGACTATCATGATTTATAACAAACCTTTCCAAAATTGTCCGTTTATAAATTTTGAAATTATAAAGAAACTAAGATTTCAACTCCCTCATATGACAAGCCGTTTTACTATTTATTCTAACTTCAAGATATCTAATAAACTATATAAGATATCTCATATAATTTATAAGGTATTTCATATAATTTAGACGATATCTCATATAATTAAATTTGTTCTTTATAACATATCTTATAAATTATATGAGATATCTTATAAACTATATATTAAGATATCTTATAAAATATATGAGATATCTTATAAACTATATATCTTATATAATAAAAAATTATAAGTTATCTAATAAACTTCATAAGATATCATATATACGTTATAAGATATCTCATAATGTATATAAGATATCTTATAAACTTTATAAAATATCTTATACATTATATATTAGATACGTGTTGTTTTCATTTTTTAAATTGGACCCTTTGAATATAAAAATAAACTTTCCAAAAGCTTCAGTGAAGTTCGAAAGAGTGGTCTATTTGTGAGGATCTTGATGGAGATCTAGTTAAAAGAACAGAGAATTATAGGCAAAACAATAAACAATAGATAATGAGGTGCCAAAATATACCGATTAGAGAAAACGCATAAAAAAATTAAAGTATACAGAAATGAAGACCTCCATCCAGATCCTCGTTTGTAAACATAGAGAACCTTAGTGTTGCAGTTTATGCAATCCAAGAAAATGCATCTAGCGTAAAAGGAGGAAACGAATTTGTTAATACAACTGATTGATAAAACGAAAATAATTATCTACACAGAATAAATGAATAAATCAAAAGAACACGAAAAAGAAAATCGAACGATAAAGAGAGGCAACTTTTTTTGTATAATGCATATGTTTCCAAACTTTACATGTGAAACTAAAAAGTATATATGTTTATATTATTACATTTGAAATATTATATGAATATCAGGGATGGACACGATTACTGACAAATGTGATCGATTAATAATCAAAGAATTTTTGTATAATCGATGGATTACTCTGATTTTTGTATGTAATACTTATTCAAACGTAATTACATTACTTTTTACATCGCGATGACCGTGAGGGTATTCCAATGTACTGCTATCGCCTAGATTTCCATTACGTAACTTTCGTTTTGGGTTTGTAACCGATCTATAAACATGATAAATACGCGGTGTGCAAACTAACATTCCTTATCGTTTGTTATAAATACATCTCTTCAATGAATACTGATAAAAATATTTTTGTTTAGAACATAAATTAATAATATGAAAATGTTTTGTCGTTAGATATATATATATATATATATATTAAAAAATCATTGATAATATCTATGCACATGTACCGAAAAATTGTGTTAAAGCATGCGGAAGAATCTCTCAAGAACGTTTCGCGACAATCCCGGCAAGGACCGGTAACTCTGTAATTGTTTTTGCGGGAAAATATGAATGCCTACTCATATCCAATCTTTTAGAAAAATCGAATTTTTACAAAAGAGTGTCCACCATGCACTTGCACTGCACTATTATTAGAATAGTATAATAGAATGATATACAAATGGATGAAAATTATATATATATGTAACTGTTATATTAATATAATATATAACAACAAACCAGTGTTTACTGATTTGTATCACTACAATATAATAGGGAGCTGCCATTTGATTTTTATGGGGGGCTAGGATGAAAAATTGTGTCTTGCATTTTTAGTTGTAATCTCGGTCATGCCTTTTTATTTTTCATTTTATTCGGTCCTGCCTTTTTTTTATTAGTTTATCCTGACTTTTTATACATAATTTGTCATCCTGCCTTTTTTTTTGCCAAGTTGCTCATCCTGCCTTTTTTTGCCAAGTTGCTCATCCTGCCTTTTTTTTACTCAAAACTCCTGTCCTGCCTTTTTTTCTAATTTCATCCTAGCCCCCCCCCCCCCCCCCCCCCCATAAAAATCAAATGGTAGCTCCCATATTACGGTGAGGTTGAATTTCCAAGACAAGACAATTTATTACAACTTAGGCACACGTATGGTGCTACAAGAGGATAACAATTATACATTAACAATTACATATATACTTATACATTTACAAGCAAGACACACAATAAATAAATAAGTGATATCATATTTCCTGTCATTTATTCATCATCCACGCACGAATTTGTCTCAGAAAAAAAGTTAACACTGTACATTAACCTCAGTTTCAGGTATAGAGATGTCATTTTTTTCTGTGACAAGTGCTTTTGACCATCCACAAGAACTTGCGCTCATCCGATGTTCAGTACTTCAGTACTTTGATTGATTACTGCCAATTACATGCTACAAAATTATAAAAATAAATGATAAAGAAAGTTAAACAAAATTATGTTGCTCAACATATTTATAGTGGAAATTTAGAAAACATCATTTAAATCATAATTTCCAAATGTCATGTTGATGGAAACTTACTGAGGATCCGAAATATTAAAAAAATATTGAAATTTTGGTTGTCAACATGTGCTAGTGTTGATAATTTAGTTCTTGCAGTGACATGGACCATTGCATCAATAATACGCCATGGTCCATTGCATCAATAATACGCCATTTGCTTCATATTTTTTTCTGTCATACTGACTACTTTTTGTTGTTTGTTTTTACTCATTATTAACAGGTATATTTGAATATTGTTCATCAAAATGTTGGAAGTTGAAATAAAAAATATAAAAAAGGAATAATTACTTTAGCTTATTTTAAAGATGTAAATTTCAAATTTATAATTACATACATTTATCCTTTTGTTTGGATAATCTCCCTAATTGCAGGTGATAACATTTCCAATGGAGTAAAATTTATAACCTATGGCAAAATGATATGTAAATCTCCCACTTTATTAGACATACATGACCTATAATGGTTTACTTTTATAAATTTTTACTTGGATGGAGAGTTGTCTCATTGGCACTCATACCACATCTTCTTATATCTATGTAATTGAAATATAAACAAAGTCTACATCTAATTGAAACGAGAGCTTTAATCATCTGATTAGTAAAGACAAAAAGGCAATTGACAATTCTTTATTCACTATTCAAAATTATAAACAATATATATTTTTAGTGTCAAAATGGTCTGCGTATATGTAAGAGAATGATAATCCCTTTCTGCATGATTAAGTACGAGCGTTAGCGAGTACTTATCATGAAGAAAGGGATTATTATTCTCTTACAAACTTAGAATATTGTAAAGTGCTCAAGGCTTAAATGATCTCTTGATTGGTTATATTTAAGAATTAGTTTCATTGTCAATGCAATTTTTGTAATTAGAATATATCAAAAAGCACTCGACCAATGAAATTGTAGGATTTGATATCTCTTAATTGTGAAGAATGAATGTAAATCATGTTCTTAGTAAGGGATTATCCTATTATTTATGTCTATTTACAGTTCAAAACAAAGAGTTTCTATAAATGAGTTACAACTGCCCCGAAGCACATTTATCAGATTGAAAGGATTTATCTCACAGTGATTGAAACTGACTATAAGTTGAATTATGAAACATACAAAAAAATCAAAATAAGTTGAAATTTGATTTAAAAAGCCGGACCAAAATATTGCCCGTGAAAAAAAATTAGTTGTAACTCAAAAGTATTTATTGATTTAAACTGTAAATAAACAAAGGATAATTCCTCACTAAAATATAACATGATTTACAGTCATACTCACAATCAGGAAACATATACAATTCCTACTTTTTCTTTGTACTGTTGTGTTACCTAATGTCTATAACTCATTTTTTTTTTATGTTACCCAAATTATAAGAAAGTCCTTACATCACTAAAACTAATCCATAAATGAAATGCCGAAAAAGGAAGTCCTGCATCATTTATAAACATACAATATTCTAAGTTTGTAAGAGAATGATAATCCCTTACTTCATGATAAGTAATCGCTAACGCTCGTACTTAATCATGAAGAAAGGGATTATCATTCTCTTACATATACTTAATGCATGGCTTCCTTTTTAGGCATGCTTTCATTTATGGATTAGTTTAAGTGATGTAAGGAATTTCTTATAGTTTTGGAAATATATATAATAGATTGTGTTTTAGACATTAGATGACACAACAGTACAATGAAATGGTAAGAAATGTTTCCTGATTGTGAGTATGAATGTAAATCATGTAATATGTTATCGAGAAATTATCTATTTGTTTATTTCCAGTTAAAATCAATAAATTCAAAATTTGAGTTACAAATAAAATTTATTTTACAGCCAATATTTTAGTCAAGTCCTTTACATCAAATACTACTTCATTGTGTCAGGGAACTGTTCAAATACAATGCCTTTAAAATAGTTTAAAATATAATGGAAATTACTATTCTCACCAACCGCGGATCAAGTATAATCTGATTTTTTGAAAGAGTAGACGCTAAAGATTTAGATATTATTTAATTTTAAAACTTTTTTTTTTTGCACTGCATTTTTTTTAATAACTTGAAGTTATTAATGTTCTCATAATAACGTTAACAGTACCAATGTTACTGCATCAGTACACTTTATCTTATTTTGATTTTTTTGTTTGTTTCAAAATTCAACAAGTCAGTTTTAATCACAAATTCTTTCAAGCTGATAAATGTGTTTCGGGGCATTTGTAACTCATTTATAGAAACTCTTTGTTTTGAACTGTAAGTAGGCCTTAACAATAGGATAATCCCTTACTAAGTACATGATTTCATTCATTCTTCACAATTAAGAAACACTAAATCCTACAATTTCATTGGTCGAAACCACTTTGCTATATTCTAAATGTATCTATTACTGAACAATAATTTCATTGCATTGGTTCGTTATCAATAGGATCTTGTATCCTTACTTAATCTTTATATCATAACATTATGATTCATAGCTAGGTTTATCTTTTCTATGCTAAAATTCCAACACTTATTGAAAATTATGCTTTTTTATATATAGGAATTTTAATACAAATAAGCTTTTTACTTCAATGTAGTACAGAAATTTAAAATCAATTTTATAATTTTCAATCTTTTTTTCTATTTTTGATATAAGCTTTAAAGTATTTCCAGGCATTGAAATCTGAAAATATAGTAAAATTTGTAAGGAAATCTGGTTGAACATTATGCAGCTTGAGACAACAGATCTGAATAATCATATGACAGAACTCTCAAGTCATATATTTATACATTCTCTTTTATCTGTACTATAAACCGATGAATGCATGCAGTTGTTGATTTTCTTTCAAACTATTTTACTAAAGTAATCGAAATGTAATCGAAAAGTAATGGATGATTACATCATAATTTTTGCTGTAATCGATTAAATTACGATTACATGTAATTGAAAATGTTGTCGATTACAGATTACTGTGGATTACTTGAAAAAATGTAATCAATTGCAATCGATTACAATTACAGACTACGATTACCCAATCCCTGATGAATATTACATTACGTGAGCTTGCATTCATAAGTAATGCCATGATTATAATTTGCAGATTGTACCTTTATAAATGAGCTATGTTATAATTTGGTGAGACATTCTAAATATTTACTGTTAATATTATTCTTGAATGAAGTTTAAATTTTGAGGACAAATTATTTGGAAAATGGGGTAGTGTTGTGAAATACATATTGTAGGTGTCAACTTCCTCATTTCAAACCAAGTAAAAAAGGTCATGTATTGCCCTATTCATGGAATGAAGTTTCAAGCATGATTGGCAATACATACTAAACGTTTGATTGCACCTTTATTCTGTTTTGTAAGTGTATACTTGTGTGCATAAGGGGACGACCATTTGATATTCTGGGGGGGGCCAGGAGGATTTTGAAAATAAATAACTCGGCCTTGATAATCACAAAAATAAATGGTTTGTTCTGTGGTAGTTTGAAAATAAATTACCTGACTTGCAATGTATTGAAAATAAATAACTCAGCAGGTCTAATCGAAAGTATGAGATAGCACCAGATTCTTCATAAATTCATCTTTTTTCCCAAAAAAAAATCGGGAAACACTTCCCATATCTTTTAAATTAATGATAAAAGTATAAATATTATTTAAATATACTTGCTGTGACCTATAATGGTTTACTTTTATAAATTTTGACTTGGATGGAGAGTTGTCTCATTGGCATTCATACCACATCTTCTTATATCTATTGAAATGTCAGAAAATTGGTTTCATTTAACTTGAGGTTAATTGTCTCAGGAACACTTACCTCACTTTTATTAAATCAGGGCCGTAACTACATTGAGACAAATGCCTCATGTAGGAAATTTCAAAACCAAACGCTTGTCTCCATATCAAATTGTGTTCACCGTGAGTGCCTTGCAAGAAGCAAGTTCTGTTCTCCCTCAGACGTAACCCCTGACTTTTCGGGATCAATTTTTCTTATTTATTTGTCTTTTGTTCATTGATTGCCCTTCTGATTGATTCTGTTAGTGTTGCATTCATTTTGTAATTTAGTAATTTTATTATTAACTTGATCATGAGTTTAAAAAAACACAGCAGCCACAGACTTAACTATGTGAATTACATTTTTGCTTTATCATGCATATTTGTCTTTTGATGTTGTTCCTAGAAACTTAAGTCTTACACTGAATCTATAACGTGATTTTGCTTTGAGACCAAAATATTGTCATAAAATTATTAAAACAGAACTTGCATTTTCAGTTTAAGAAAGGGTCTGGGGAACACCCAGAAGGCATGATTTTGCATCATTTGTTCTACAGCTTCTTGGGCCTTCAGCGGTTCAAAAACCCTTCAAAAAAAATTTTGCCTCGCTCCGCTCGGCAAAACATGTTTGCCAATACTTTTAAAACAGCCTTAGTTACAAACAAACTTTAATACTGTGTATGTATGCAATACATGTATATGCATTGGGGAATATAGGAGATTCATTTCTGCAGAGGATAATAATTAATTCTGATTAAATGGTACATAATGACTTGACTTTACATGAATTATTTATAATAAACAAATAATTTAAAAATTGTATGTTTTCGAATATATAAATATAGTTGTGAAAATAAATAATCAGTCCCTTGCTTTAATGAAAATGAAAAATCTTGCTTCAATAGTGCAGAAAATAGATAATCTGTCCTCTTTAGTTTACAAAAATAAATAACCGATTCAAAACAAATCCTCCTGGCCCCCCCCAGAATATCAAATGGTTGTCCCCTAAAGTGATTGTTCTGTTAATAAACTATATCACTTTCAACATGTTGTTAACAGAAATAAAATATTGCGTTTAAGTTGCAGTAAATATAAATAATAGACAAAGATCACACATTTTGTTCATAATTAAATTAACATCCATGTAAACCTCCTATGATCAGTTTGTATTAAAAAGGTAACAGTAACGGTACCAATTTTACTGCACCAGATGCTCATTTCGATAAATAATACCTCTTCGGTGATGCTTGAGGATTAAATATTTAAAATTTTGAAATCTAATACATACATTGAAGAGCTGATAAAACCAAATCGGACCAAAGATCAGAGCTATGTAGATAATTTTTTAATTCAAAATGATGTCCAAAATTTTATAAAAGCAAATTTCAAGTAGATTTGTAATTGCTTGCAATAAAGGATGGCACCCTCGTCCCCCCATTGCCATGGTAACGACAGCAATTTTGAAAATTCAATCCATCAACCAAGGTCCATTCAATTCCGAGATCCAGAGTGGACAAAAAAGTGTGGAAGAAAAATAAAAAGAAACGTAGAATAACAATATGTCACCCCAACTCCGTTGAGGGTGCCATAATAAACAGTATCTGTGTTTTCATTTCAGAACAAAGCTAGGTACTAGCTACTGGGCTGGTGATACACTAATGACTAACTGATAACCAGTAGAGATTAACGGTTCCAATGTTACTGCACCAGATGAGCATTTCTCCAGTGATGTTCTAAATGTGATCTTGAGAAATATGCTCACAAAAGTTTCATTTATACTAGGCTTTCCTTGTTCAAAGTGGAAATGCACATCATACACAATCTTGTGGTGTCAAGTCAGTTTTGACATTTATTAACTGATAAATAATGTTCAGAAAAATAAAGGTTTTTTTCATCATCATTACTCCACAGTGTAATAACATGTCTTTGGATTTCCAATTGCATGGTTTTGAATGTTCCTTTAAAGGTTAAAAAAGATGTGAATAGATTGCAGCATATCCTTTATGGCTCTTTACTGATTACTTCCACAAGGTGATACAACTGCTGGTTTACTGCCTTTGTCGTATTTGGAACAACTTTTTTTTAATTTTTGGTTTTTAATGATCTTCAACTAGGTCTATGATTAGGCCCTCCAACTAGTTTTGATTCAAACGCTGCAGATGAGTCTTGTGTAGATGAAACACGCGTATGGTGCACAAAAATTATAAACCTGGTACTTTTGATGATTTTTACCAATAAATCCTGAAGGAATTTTCTGTGTTTCTACAATGGTCAAAATTTATTTAACAGCTGATGATTTGTAAATTTTTACGCGGTAGTAACTCCATATGGTTCATTTTTCTATAGAGTTTTGGCTATATTTTGTGGGTTCTTCATAGGTTTTAAGTCTCTTGCATGTATTTAGACAGGTTTGTCAGTCATGTTTTTGATGGATGGAAATCCAGGAATGTACAATGAACACAGTCATCACAGATCATATTGTTTAACACTTGAACTTTATTTATTACCAAACTCTGCTTAGACAACAAAGAAGCTACAACACTTGTCCAGAGTTAATTGAATTCATACTATGATGCCAATACAAGACCAATTTATGATATAGGAATAGATACGTATGGCAATATTTAATATTGTGTGTCATCCATGATATGTATAATAGACGTTTATATCCTATAGTAATGTTTCACCAACTAGCTGTTATTATAAAGGTTTTTACATAACAATCTAAAATCCTCTATGACTTGTAATACTTTTAACCAGCTTACATAGTACCATATACAGAAAAAGGCATAAGGAATCCCAGAAGCTTGAATTCATATTACCGTAATATTTTCTGTATTGAAAAGTATCAATTAACTGTAAATACCCACAACTAGACTGTATAATAAAAAATAAGACCTGTGTAAACTAGAAATATGCCATAAATAAGCTTGATATTTTGAAATTAATTTCACAAAAAATTTAAAAAGAAAGTGATGATAGGTAGCCTGTCAGTAGCCAGTCCTCACCTGATTTAAATTATTCAGTATAGCGACTCTGTTCAGACCCTTTTGGTTTTAATTCTCTCACAGCATTTTATAATCTTGGCTTTCTCACCTTTCTATCTTTAGCGTACCTGATGAACTTTGTTTCAAAAAACTATGTTGTGCACAGAACAATCCTTATACCGGTAAATTTTTTGAAATGTTTTGTTCATTTACAAAAGTTCTGGATTTTAGATCTTTGACAGTCTTCGCTGAAATAAATCTAAATTTTCATAGTCTTGGGGGAATTAAGGGCATATAATTCGGGTCCTTCCCATCCTTGAAAACTAAATGGTATCTAAATGTCTGTACATGAGTTTTGATGGGATGCTTTAACATTGATTTTCCCTTGTTCATACATCTTATTTATTTATACAAAAAGAGAAATAATTGTTCTTGATACATTTTACATTCAAAACATAACACACATACAATACTCATGAAGATAAAAACTAAGTCACTGTTATCTGATCCAAACTATCTTCTTCAATTAGATTTCTTAAATGAAAAAAATCAAGCAAATTGTTGACAACACCCTGATCAAAAGGACGCTTCACTCTTCCAAATTTATCCTGCATATAGGCATACTTTTTAAAAGCTAAACCTTCATTTGTGGTCACATTAATGGCTGCATTATAAATCTGAAAGTACAAACATAACAAATTAGATTACATTGAGATGGGAGTCATCTCTGTGGGCCCCGCTGTGAATAATGTGCGTTAAAAAATTTGTATCTTTACCATAGATGGGGTTGTCAACTGAAATCAAAGTTTTTGACCTTGACCTTTGACCTAGGAAGTTGTACATAAATTATGACACACCCTCTGGTGTTGGTTTATATACATGTCAAGTATACACTTTGAAATCATAATGGTTCTCAAGATAAAGAGCGGACACGATCTTTACCATAGGACATGGGGTTGTCAACTGAAACCAAAGTTTTGGACCTTGAACTTTGACCTAGGAAGTTGAACATACATTATGACATACCCTCTGGTGTTGGTTAATATACATGTCAAGTATAAACTTTGAAATCATAACAGTTCTCTATATAGAGAGGACAAGATCTTTACCATAGGACATGGGGTTGTCAACTGAAACCAAAGTATTTGACCTTGAACTTTGACCTAGGAAGTTGTACATAAATTGTGACACACCCTCTGGTGTTGGTTTATATATATGTCAAGTATAAACTTTGAAATCATAATGGTTCTCAAGATATAGAGTGGACACAATCTTAAACATAGGACATGGAGTTGTCAAATGAAACCAAAGTTTTTGACCTTGACCTTTGACCTAGGAATTTGTACATACATTATGACACACCCTCTGGTGTTGGTTAATATACATGTCAAGTATAAACTTTGAAATCATAACAGTTCTCTAGATATAGAGTGGACACAATTTGTTACAGACGGATGGACAGATGGACGGACAGACGGACGGACGGATGGACGGACAGACTGATCACTATAGGGTTCCGCCATTCAGCGGGGCTCTAGTTATACAAAACGTAGACAGAACAAGATTGCATGTGTTGTCCTGCTTAATATACTCCCACTTGTAATTTAAAGTATCTAAAAACAGGAAGTTAGTGTCTGACAGATGCAAAATATGCTACACGTTTCAACTTATAACTGTCAAGTTGCTGACTTAATATGAAGTAATTCTGTTCAGTAGTATCTGTTAGACAAATGAAAAGACTTACGAATAGACAAACAGACAAGACAAACTGGTGCTAGGGGCCGTCCTAAAATTGCAGTGAGGTGAGAGTTTTTTTGCTCAATGTTGATGGCCTCACTGTGACTTTATGATGAATAACAGCAATAAAAGCAGTGTTCCTTTGCTTTTCATGTTTTTGCTGTGCATATACAGATTTTGTGTCATGGATGGATACCCCATATCCTTTCTTTGCTATTAAGATGAATACAATATAGCCCCCAATTCTAGAGTGAGCTATTAATTATTAATGTACTAGTACAGTGTATCTTCAGTTTCTTCAGTTGCAGATTTAACTTATTTTAATATTTCCTTAATGAGCTGGTTTTGAACTTGGTCAACCCTAACCAAAAATTCTAATTTTGTTTCTCAGATGCTATTTCTCAATCTTGAAGAGGCTTCTAACCAAGTTTTATAACTATATATACCAGTTTAATAAAGTTATTGATGTCTAAACAATTTAATCCTAGATTGCATGTAAATGCCAAATTGGATCCCAGATTGTATGTAAATTTTAACTGCAAAAAAATCTATCAGTAAAACAGTAAAGTACTGAAAAACATTTTTTTTTTTGGTTCAGACATTGGATTCCATTACTCAATGGGACATTTCACTTTGGAAAATTAACATAGCAAATACCAACTTATGCTGAGGAAAGATTTTATTTCTTTTGCAATAACTGCAACAAAAAGTGTATTTATCAGTAAAATACTGAAAAATATAAGATAAATATTTTTACAATTTTGGTTCAGACTTCATCTATTATTATACATAACCTTCCATCAAGTTTCATAAATTCCATGAAGGTTTGATGTCTGAAAAACTTTAGACTGTTTCTGAATGTTACTTGCCAAAAAACTAATTTAAATATATTAAACAACAAAATATGCAAAAATAAAAAATATTTTATTCTTTTGATCATAAAATTCCATGAAGATTTGAAAAAAAATTTGATGTCTAGAAAAACGTTTAACTACAGACTGAGACCACAACTGAATGTAGGATAATTGTAATACTTAAAAAAATATTAATTTCAAAATCTTAAATGACATATATACTTAAAAACAAAATAAAAGTTTAACTGACTGTTTCATCATCTGATTATCAATGTACCATAGAAACTAGAGGCTCTAAAGAGCCAGTGTCGCTCAACTTGGTCTATGTGCATATTAAACAAAGGACACAGATGGATTCATGACAAAATTGTGTTTTGGTGATGGTGATGAGTTTGTAGATCTTACTTTACTGAACATTCTTGCTGCTTACAATTATCTCTATCTATAATGAACTTGGCCCAGTAGTTACAGTGAAAAATATTTTGTAAAAAGTTACAAAAATTTACAAAATTTATGAAAATTGTAAAAAATTGACTATAAAGGGCAATAACGCCTTAAGGGGTCAATTGACAATTTTGGTCAAGTTGACTTATTTGTAGATCTTACTTTGCTGTACATTATTGCTGTTTACAGTTTATCTCTATCTATAATAATATTCCAGATAATAACCAAAAGCTGCAAAATTTTCTTAAAATTACCAATTCAGGTGCAGCAACCCAACAACGTGTTGCCTGATTGGTCTGAAAATTTCAGGGTAGATAGATCTTGACCTAATGAACAATTTTATCCTGTCAGATTTTCTCTAAATGTTTTGGTTTCAGAGATATGAGCCAAAAACTGCATTATGTATTATTTTTTAGCCATGTCAGCCATCTTGGTTTGCAGGCGGGGTCATCAGATAAATTTTTTAAACTATATACCCTAATGATGATTGTGGACAAGTTTGGTTAAATTTGTCTTAGTAGTTTCAGAGGAGAAGATTTTTGTAAAAGATTACAAAAATTTACAAAAAATGGTTAACCCCTTTGGGCCAGGTGGGCTAAAAATCAGATAAAATGTTTACTAAAACAACCAGTTTTCAAAGAATATTTCAGTGTGCCCAATTATAATCAAAGTGATGGAAATCACTCATGGAAAGATTGGAAGATTAGTTTCAATAATTTCAAATCATATTTAGGTATGGTGTGGACAAAAAAGAACATTAGTATAGCACTATTGCTGACAATTGCATTAACTGCAGGTCTTTAAAAGGATAAGCACTTTTTCAGTAGATAAAATGAGCTAAATGTGAATCAATGATAGCAGGTCCCTTAATTTGCACAACAATTTCGTTTAAATTGCAGTTTATATCTTAACCAAATAATGTTCCCTGTTACATGTTTCACCTTTTACATTTCATCTTTTGAAACAGAAGAAATTACAAAACAAAGATTCTTCTAATAAAGTTTATCAATTATCCTTGTGGGATATGGGACCAACAGATAGACTTGAAGCTTATTGTCTCAAAAAATTAATCTAAAAGGGTTGTTTTGGGGCATTTTGTAAGTTGAAACATAGGTATACTATTTTTCTCCTCTAAGATTTGCTTACTGATTTTGAAAACAATTATCATGATTATATGACACTGAAGATTCAAAGTTGTAGAGTGTATTTTAATCCATTTATAATTTAATATTTTCCAGAAAAGGGCATTGAAAATGTACTTTTTCAACATAAACAAATTAAAAAACTTATTTTGTTGAAATGGGGATTCCTATCTTAATTGCAAAAAAACACTTCTTATATTCAAATGACAAAAATTGTTAACAGACATTTAATAGGGAATAAACTAAAAAAATATTGGTTTGCTCTGGTTAAGAGTTTTAAAATTTTACTTACAGTTTCAAGCCAATCACCGATAAGTGTACTAATCTAAATTATTGATTTATAACAGATGATTATTGCACAGATTTATCAAGTAAATTATAGGCCTTACTTGAATACTGTTTTTAATATTTATATTTATATTTCATATTTTGTCTTTTCTTTTGAATAAAAGATCTTGTTAATCCCAAGGATTTGTATAGTGTCACTATACAAATCCTTGTAAATCCTTAATAATTAATCATTTATCTTTCAGACATAATTTACAAAATCACTTTAATATGTAGTGTAGATCAAAAGTAATAGGCTATGAATGAATCTGTCATTTCTATATATCAAACATCTAATATATACATTTGTATATTAAATTATGAGGTAAAATATTTGTGTATTGAGATGTATAATGAAGGGTCTGTATAATTATGTAAGACTGAGGTTGATTAGTACTGTGGTCGATATGATTGGCATTTAAGGAGGTGGGGCATTGTAATTACTTTAAGGCCCCACCTTGTCTCTGATTGTTTGGTGATCATGACAGTTGTCAATCATGACTTACCTAATCAAAATGAAAAAAAAAAATAGCCTGCACACCAACACACCTTAAAGACATACATATTGAATGAACTGCTCCAAAATTATTACCAAAATTTTTCACAGTTCATATGAATGTGCATATTTACACAGATATGAGAATTATAGGGAACTATATTTCAGTGTGTATACAATTTGTAGATTTAGTAGCTAACTTGTTCTACTTGTTGTAAGTGAGGCAGGTGCCTTAGGAAAGATTTGGAACAATAGTTTCAATCTTTCAAAAAAATAAAAAGGAGAGCAAGATTTCATACAAGAATCAATTATAGGTTGCACTTTGTAAATACAGCTGTTTCTCAAACAATGCCTCTTTTGGGGAGATATAAAATATTCATAGATCATTAATTTTGTTTACATACTGGTTCCCAGTTATGATCTCTATGTTTCATCTCATAGAGACATAACTTGTGAATGTTACCAGTAAATACACATATGCATATTGTTTATATTGAAATCTGTGGTAATCCTACAGTTAAGGTAGGGGTAGTTAAGAAATTTAGTGTTTGTTTAAACTCTTAGAAGTTCGAGGCATATAAACGTTGAAAATATGCCGCACAGCCCTATATTTTGACCTTTGAAAAAAATAGTAGTGCATATGAACTTTCCATTCTAGGATATGATTTTTTTCAAAACTTCATAGTAAAAGTGGTACAGTTTTAGCCGTAAAAGGAGTTCCAATGGGAAATTGCATTGTCAATATTTACAGAAATGCAACCTGTAGTTTGTTTCTGTTATATGTGATACAAACAAATTGTTCAGAATTTTCAAATAAATTTTCAATTTCTACAATGAACTTGATGTAAGTCTAAAAAGCTCTTTATATTTATTACCATTAACTTTAGATGTAAGTCTAAAAAGCTCTTTATGTTTATTACCATTAACTTTAGATGTAAGTCTAAAAAGCTCTTTATGTTTATTACCATTAACTTTAGATGTAAGTCTAAAAAGCTCTTTATGTTTATTACCATTAACTTTAGATGTAAGTCTAAAATGCTCTTTATGTTTATTACCATTAACTTTAGATGTAAGTCTAAAATGCTCTTAGTGTTTATTACCATTAACTTTAGATGTAAGTCTAAAAAGCTCTTCATGTTTATTACCATCAACTTTAGATGTAAGTCTAAAATGCTCTTAGTGTTTATTACCATTAACTTTAGATGTAAGTCTAAAATGCTCTTAGTGTTTGTTAACATTAATTTTAGATGTAAGTCTAAAATGCTCTTAGTGTTTATTACCATTAACTTTAGATGTAAGTCTAAAAAGCTCTTTATGTTTATTACCATTAACTTTAGATGTAAGTCTAAAATGCTCTTAGTGTTTATTACGATTAACTTTAGATGTAAGTCTAAAATGCTCTTAGTGTTTATTACCATTAACTTTAGATGTAAGTCTAAAATGCTCTTTATGTTTATTACCATTAACTTACCATCATTACAAACTTACCGCTATTACAAAAAGTCCAAAAGCTGAAAAAGCATAGAATCCCATCAGGAGAACGTAAAACTTGTATAGCCAGTTCCATTCCAAATAGTTGTTGACAGTGTGAATGCTCAACTTCAAACTGATTGCCAAAACTATAGAAACACTGGTCGTAAATAATGCAAAAGATCCCCTGCAAAAGATGCAATGTAACTATACATATGTTGTAGTGGACAATAATGAACATTGGATACTATAATGTCTATGAAAAGACATACTGGTACCTCGTAAAACCTATATGATGTAATAATTGACAGAATAAAAATTGGTCCTAAAAAAAAAGCTTCAAACAGTTAAATAAAGTGTTAACTCAGAGATATGTATTGCCTATGTAACATATTCACACAGAGATATGTCTTGTCTATGTAACATATTCCCAAAGAGATATGTTTTGCCTTTGTAACATATCCACACAGAGATATGTCTTGCCTATGTAACATATTCACACAGAGATATGTATGGTCTATGTTACATATTCACACAGAGATACGCTTGCCTATGTAACATATTCCCAAAGAGATATGTTTTGCCTTTGTAACATATCCACACAGAGATATGTCTTGCCTATGTAACATATTCCCACAGAGATATGTATGGTCTATGTAACATATTCACAGAGATATATCTTGCCTATGTAACATATTGCCATACAGATATGTCTTGCCTATGTAACATATCCACACACAGATATGTCTTGCCTATGTAACATATTGCCACAGAGATATGTATGGTCTATGTTACATATTCACACAGAGATATGCATGGCCTATGTTACATATTCACACAGAGATATGTCTTGTCTATGTAAAATATTCACACAGAGATATGTCTTGCCTATGTTACATATTCACACAGAGAAATGCCTTGTCTATGTAACATATTCACACAAATATGTTATGCCTATGTAACATATTCACAGAGATATGTCTTGCCAATGTAACATATTCATACAGATATATCTTGTCTATGTAGCATATCCACACAGAGATATATCTTGCCTTTGTAACATATTTACACAGAGATATGTCTTGCCTATGTAACATATTCACACAAAGATATGTCTTGTCTATGTAAAAAATTGAAAACAACACGTATAATAATTTCATGTGTCCGAAGCGCTTTTCTGGATTTACCTTCATCAGGAACGCTCAAAGCCAAACATTTGAAATCCGAGGGATGTATAAGTACGGAAATAGTTGAAGAGCTATATGACAAAAATACCTAAAACAAATAGCCAAATCCATCTAAGGTCAACTTTGCCTGAGGGAGTTGAAACCTTAGTTTCTTTATAATTTCAAAATTTATAACAGCATTTTTAGAAAAGTTTGTTATAAATCATGTCAACCTTAGTTTCTTTATAATTTCAAAATTTATAAACGGGCAAATATTCACACAGAGCTATGTCTTGTCTATGTAAAATATTCACACAGAGAAAAGTCTTGCCTATGTAACATATTCACACAGAGATATGTCTTTTCTATGTAACATAGTCACACCGGGATATGTCTTGTCTATGTAACATATTCACACAGAGAAATGTCTTGCCTATGTTACATATTCACACACAGAGATATGTCTTGCCTATGTAACATATTCACACAGAGATATGCCTTGTCTTTGTAACATATTCACACAGAGATATGTCTTGCCTATGTAACATATTCACACAAATATGTCTTGCCTATGTAACATGTTCACACAGAGATATGTCTTGTCTATGTAACATATTCACACACATATATGTCTTGCCTATGTAACATACATAGTCACACAGATATGTCTTGCCTATGTAACATATTCACACAGATATGTCTTGTCTATGTTATATATTCACACACATATATGCATTACCTATATAACATATTCACACAGATATATCTTGTCTATGTAACATATTCACACAGAGATATGTCTTGTCTACATAACATATTCACACAGAGATATGTCTTGCCTATGTAACATATTCCCACAGAGATATGTATGGTCTATGTTACATATTCACACAGAGATATATCTTGCCTATGTAACATATTGCCATACAGATATGTTTGCCTATGTAACATATCCACACAGAGATATGTCTTGCCCATGTAACATATTTCCACAGAGATATGAATGGTCTATGTTACATATTCACACAGAGATATGCATGGCCTATGTTACATATTCACACAGAAATATGTCTTGTCTATGTAAAATATTCACACAGAGATATGTCTTGCCTATGTAACATATTCACACAGAGAAATGCCTTCTCTATGTAACATATTCAAACAAATATGTTATGCCTAGGTAAAATATTCACACAGAGATATGTCTTGCCTATGTAACATATTTACACAGATATGTCTTGTCTATGTTATATATTCACACACATATATGCATGACCTATATAACATATTCACACAGATATATCTTGTCTATGTAACATATTCACACAGAGATATGTCTTGTCTACATAACATATTCACACAGAGATATATCTTGCCTATGTAACATATTGCCATACAGATATGTTTGCCTATGTAACATATCCACACAGAGATATGTCTTGCCTATGTAACATATTTCCACAGAGATATGAATGGTCTATGTTACATATTCACACAGAGATATGCATGGCCTATGTTACATATTCACACAGAAATATGTCTTGTCTATGTAAAATATTCACACAGAGATATGTCTTGCCTATGTAACATATTCACACAGAGATATGTCTTGTCTACATAACATATTCACACAGAGATATGTCTTGCCTATGTAACATATTCCCACAGAGATATGTATGGTCTATGTTACATATTCACACAGAGATATATCTTGCCTATGTAACATATTGCCATACAGATATGTTTGCCTATGTAACATATCCACACAGAGATATGTCTTGCCTATGTAACATATTTCCACAGAGATATGAATGGTCTATGTTACATATTCACACAGAGATATGCATGGCCTATGTTACATATTCACACAGAAATATGTCTTGTCTATGTAAAATATTCACACAGAGATATGTCTTGCCTATGTAACATATTCACACAGAGAAATGCCTTCTCTATGTAACATATTCACACAAATATGTTATGCCTAGGTAAAATATTCACACAGAGATATGTCTTGCCTATGTAACATATTTACACAGATATGTCTTGTCTATGTTATATATTCGCACACATATATGCATTACCTATATAACATATTCACACAGATATATCTTGTCTATGTAACATATTCACACAGAGATATGTCTTGTCTACATAACATATTCACACAGAGATATATCTTGCCTATGTAACATATTGCCATACAGATATGTTTGCCTATGTAACATATCCACACAGAGATATGTCTTGCCTATGTAACATATTTCCACAGAGATATGAATGGTCTATGTTACATATTCACACAGAGATATGCATGGCCTATGTTACATATTCACACAGAAATATGTCTTGTCTATGTAAAATATTCACACAGAGATATGTCTTGCCTATGTAACATATTCACACAGAGAAATGCCTTTTCTATGTAACATATTCACACAAATATGTTATGCCTATGTAAAATATTCACACAGAGATATGTATTGTCTATGTAAAATATTAACACAGAGATATGTCTTGTCTATGTAAAATAGTCACACAGAGAAATTTCTTGTCTATGTAACATATTCCCACAGCGATATGTCTTTTCTATGTAAAATATTCACACCGAGATATGTCTTGCCTATGTAACATATTCCCACAGAGATATGTCTTGCCTATGTTACATATACACACAGAGATATGTCTTGCCTATGTTACATATTCACACAGAGATATGCCATGTCTATGTAACATATTCACACGAATATATGTCTTGACTATGCAACATATTCACACACAGATATGTCTTGCCTATGTTACATAGTCACACAGATATGTCTTGCCTATGTAACATATTCACACAGATGTGTCTTGTCTATGTTATATATTCACACACAGATATGCATTACCTATATAACATATTCACACAAATATATCTTGTCTATGTAACATATTCACACAGAGATATGTCTTGTCTATGTTACATATTCACACCCAGATATGCATTACCTATGTAACATATTCACACAGATATATCTTCACTATGTAACATATTCAAACAGAGATATGTCTTGCTTATGTAACATATGGACACACACAGATATGTGTGCCTATGTTACATATTAAATTAAATGCTTCGCTGGGCGCAGCTTGATACGACCGCAGAGGTCGAACCCTGAACAGTTGGGGCAAGTATGGACACAACATTCAAGCTTGATGCAGCTCTGAATTTGGATTGTGATTAAATATTTGACACAGCATAGGTTTCTGACACAGAAAGAATGTGGTCTAAGAACTTGATTTTTTTTAATTTACCTATTATGGTCCAATGTCCAAAATCAAAATACATGGTTAGATTCAGCATATCAAAGAACCCCATATATTCAATTTTTGTTAAAAATCAAACAAAGTTTAATTTTGGACCCCAACTTGGACCAACTTGAAAACTGGGCCCATAATCAAAAATCTAAACACATGTTTAGATTCAGCGTATCAAAGAACCCCAAGAATTCAATTTTTGTAAAAATCAAACTAAGTTTAATTTTGGACCCTTTGGACCTTAATGTAGACCATTTTAAAAAACGGGACCCAAAATCAAAAATCTAAATACACGGTTAGATTTGGAATATCAAAGAACCCCAATAATTCAATTTTTGATGAAATGAAACAAAGTTTAATTTTGGACTTTTGACCTCAATATGAACCAATTTGATAGCGGGGCCCACAAATGAAAAATCTAAATACATGGTTAGATTCAGCATATCAAAGAACCCCATATATTCAATTTTTGTTGAAATCAAACAAAGTTAAATTTTGGACCCCAACTTGGACCATCTTGAAAACTGGGCCCATAATCAAAAATCTAAACACATGTTTAGATTCAGCATATCAAAGAACCCCAAGAATTCAATTTTTGTTAAAATCAAACTAAGTTTAATTTTGGGCCCTTTGGACCTTAATGTAGACATTTAAAAAACGGGACCAAAAATTTAAAATCTAAAAACACGGTTAGATTTGGCATATCAAAGAAACCCAATAATTCAATTTTTGATGAAATCAAACAAAGTTTAATTTTGGACCCTTTTGACCTCAATATGAACCAATTTGATAGCGGGCCCACAAATAAAAAATCTAAATACATGGTTAGATACAGCATATCAAAGAACCCCATATATTCAATTTTGTTGTAATCAAACAAAGTTTAATTTTGGACCCCAATTTGGACCAACTTGAAAACTGGGCCAAAAATCTAAAATCTAAATACATGTTTAGATTCAGCATATCAAAGAACCCTATATATTCAATTTTTGTTGAAATCAAACAAAGTTTAATTTTGGACCCCAACTTGGACCAACTTGAAAAATGGGCCCATAATCAAAAATCTAAACACATGTTTAGATTCAGCATATCAAAGAACCCCAAGAATTCAATTTTTGTTAAAATCAAACTAAGTTTAATTTTGGGCCCTTTGGACCTTAATGTAGACAATTAAAAAACGGGACCCAAAATTTAAAATCTAAAAACACAGTTAGATTTGGCATATCAAAGAACCCCAATAATTCAATTTTTGATGAAAATCAAACAAAGTTTAATTTTGGACCCTTTTGACCTCAATATGAACCAATTTGATAGCTGGCCCACAAATAAAAAATCTAAATACATGGTTAGATTCAGCATATCAAAGAACCCCATATATTCAATTTTGTTGAAATCAAACAAAGTTTAATTTTGGACCCCAATTTGGACCAACTTGAAAACTGGGCCAAAAATCTAAAATCTAAATACATGTTTAGATTCAGCATATCAAAGAACCCTATATATTCAATTTTTGTTGAAATCAAACAAAGTTTAATTTTGGACCCCAACTTGGACCAACTTGAAAAATGGGCCCATAATCAAAAATCTAAACACATGTTTAGATTTAGCATATCAAAGAACCCCAAGAATTCAATTTTTGTTAAAATCAAACTAAGTTTAATTTTGGGCCCTTTGGACCTTAATGTAGACAATTAAAAAACGGGACCCAAAATTTAAAATCTAAAAACACGGTTAGATTTGGCATATCAAAGAACCCCATATATTCAATTTTTGATGAAATCAAACAAAGTTTAATTTTGGACCCTTTTGACCTCAATATGAACCAATTTGATAGCAGGCCCACAAATAAAAAATCTAAATACATGGTTAGATTCAGCATATCAAAGAACCCCATATATTCAATTTTGTTGAAATCAAACAAAGTTTAATTTTGGACCCCAATTTGGACCAACTTGAAAACTGGGCCAAAAATCTAAAATCTAAATACATGTTTAGATTCAGCATATCATAGAACCCTATATATTCAATTTTTGTTGAAATCAAACAAAGTTTAATTTTGGACCCCAACTTGGACCAACTTGAAAACTGGGCCCGTAATCAATAATCTAAACACATGTTTAGATTCAGCATATCAAAGAACCCCAAGAATTCATTTTTTGTTAAAATCAAACTAAGTTTAATTTTGGACCCTTTGGACCTTAATGTAGGCCAATTTTAAAAAACAGGACCCAAAATTAAAAATCTAAATACACGGTTAGATTTGGCATATCGAAGAACCCCAATAATTCAATTTTTGGTGAAATCAAACAAAGTTTAATTTTGGACCCTTTTGACCTCAATATGAACCAATTTGATAGCGGGTCCACAAATAAAAAATCTAAATACATGGTTAGATTCAGCATATCAAAGAACCCCATATATTCAATTTTTGTTGAAATCAAACAAAGTTTAATTGTGGACCCCAATTTGGACCAACTTGAAAACTGGGCCAAAAATCAAAAATCTAAAAACATGTTTAGATTCAGCATATCAAAGAACCCCATATATTCAATTTTTGTGAAAATCAAACAAAAAAAGTTTAATTTTGGACCCTTTGGACCTTAAATTAGACCAATTTGAAAACTGGACCCAAAATTAAAAATCTAAATACACGGTTAGATTTGGCATAACAAATAAATAAATGTGGTCAAAGATTTTACAAATCTAATGCACCATACTGTGCAATTAAAGATTACTTCTTGAAATTTTTCAATATTTGAAATTTGAAAAAAAAATAATATTTGAAGAATTATTCTTTTTAATTTCTGAAATCTGAAATGAGAAAAATATTGACCCCCCACAATTTCTTTTTACCCCCCCCCCCCCCCTTTTTCCCCCAAAAAAATTCTTTCCCTCAAGATATGGTCATAATCTCAATTCAAATTTCCAATGGAGTTTGCAACCATAATTACCCATTTAAATTTACCATAGTGCTAACTTAATCTATTTTATAATAGAATTTAAAATATAGTTTCAAATCTTTCATATGGATTTTTTTGTAAAAAAAAAAGATGCAACATTTGCAGATATTTTTACTGGTCTTCCTTTATAAATATGCATTTCTTTAAACATAATTTAAAAGCAGCGTTGTATTTGGATTACCTCCCTTACACTGTTTTAAATTATCTTAATTGCTCATTAACCATTACTTTATACATAATTTAAAAGCAGTGTAAGGGAGATAATTTCAATGATGTATTTGATTTATCTCCCTTACACTGCTTTAAATTATGTTTTGTACTAAAGTATTTGTCCATTAACCAGGACAACCTTGTTTTTCCCCCTTTTTTGCCCCTAATTCCTAAACAGTTTGAGCCATAACCCCCTAAAGCAAATCCTAACCATCCCTTTGTGGTATGGAAACTTGTAGTATAATTTCAGAGAGATCCATACACCGTACCACAGTTATTGTCTGGAAACTAGAAAATGCTTATTTTTGGCCCCTTTTTGGCCCCTAATTCCTTAACTGTTGGTACCATAACCCCCAAAATCAATCCCCACCTTCCTTTTGTGGTATTGAACCTTATGGTAAAATTTCAAAGAGATCCATTCACTTAAAATAAAGTAAGAGTGCGAAAACCAATGTGTCTTCGGACGACGACGATGACGACGCCAACGTCATACCAATATACGACCACAAAAATTTTTTGCGGTCGTATAAAAACTTTAACAATTGTTGATGATGGTGAAGCTAGAAACAGGATACCTAAGTCTTGCTTCCTCCCTAAGCAGCTGGCAAGATAAAAACTAGTCATTTTTCCACTGACCATTCTTATTGTTTTATTGCATTCTTATCAATAGTTAATAATACATTGTACATCAAATTATGTTGACGAATCGTAATGACATAACTACTGAGATCTACTAAACTTGTGTTTTTCATGGCTACAGGTTCATTGCAGTTATATATATATATTTAGACATACATGACCTATTTTCACAGATCATTTATTCTACATAAATCTCTGCAAATCAGTGCCATCTTCAAAATCATAAACACAATATCTTTAACTAACAAAGAAACAAACTGCCACATTTTTTGTAATACCTTATCAGTATTTTTTTTCTTTAGGTGCTGTATCAATATGAATGTTAAAAGTAAAGTTAGAAATCATTGTATATAAAGCACAAACTCAAGGAACTATTTTCAGAACAAGTTTTCTTATGGTTATCCTATGGTTGCATAAGGGAGGTTAATTTCAGCTTAAAAACAAAGATCAGTAGAAAGTTTTCAGAAAAAAGCATCACTAAAGTTCACAGAATTACACAGTATTTTAGATAAATAGCAAAACTTACCTATTTTTATATCCCACACAGTTGTATATATATGGACAGTGATGATCAAAGACTTTTACGCATCTGTTACAAACTCTACAATGTTTGGATCGTAATGGCTTTACAAGACGACATGTATGGCACAATGTGCAGAGTAAGTTTTGTCCTACAGTTTTATCACTACAAATGACTAGCTGCAAAATAAAGTGTAACAAGAGTGCACACGCTGAAATGTCTCGCCTTCTTTACTAATCATTGATATTATGTTGATAGTCCTAAATATAAAGCTTTATTACAACTGTCACATAAACTTAACATTAACCAAGTAAACTAAACATTGACCAATGAACCATGAAAATGAGGTCAAGGTCAGATGAACCATGCTAGGCAGGCATGTACAGCTAACAATTCTTCCATACAACAAATATAGTTGACCTATTGCTTATAGTTTAAGAAAAACAGACGAAAACACAAAAACTTAACACTGAGCAATGAACCTTGAAAATGAGGTCAAGGTCAAATAAAACCTGCGTGACTGACATATAGATCATAAAATATTTCCATACACCAAATATAGTTGAACTATTGCATATAGTATTAGAAAAAAAGACCAAAACTCAAAAACCTAACTTTGACCACTGAACCATGAAAATGAGGTCAAGGTAAGATGACACCTGCCAGCTAGACATGTACACCTTACAATCATTCCATACACCAAATATAGCTGACCTATTGCATGCAGTATTAGAAAAAAAGACCAAAACTCAAAAACTTAACTTTGACCACTGAACCATGAAAATGAGGTCAAGGTCAGATGACACCTGCCAGCTAGACATGTACACCTTACAATCATTCCATACACCAAATATAGTAGACCTATTGCATACAGAATAAGAAAAACAGACCAAAACACAAAAACTTAACTATAACCACTGAACCATGAAAATGAGGTCAAGGTCAGATGACACCTGCCAGCTAGACATGTACACCTTACAATCATTCCATACACCAAATAAAGTAGACCTATTGCATACAGTATAAGAGAAACAGATCAAAACACAAAAACTTAACTATAACCACTGAACCATGAAAATGAGGTCAAGGTCAGATGACACCTGCCAGTTGGACATGTACACCTTACAGTCCTTCCATACACCGAATATACTAGACCTATTGCTTATAGTATCTGAGATATGGACTTGACCACGAAAACTTAACCTTGTTCACTGATCCATGAAATGAGGTCGAGGTCAAGTGAAAACTATCTGAAGGGCATGAGGACCTTGCAAGGTACGCACATACCAAACATAGTTATCCTATTACTTATAATAAGAGAGAATTTAACATTACAAAAAATCTGAACTTTTTTTTCAAGTAGTCACTGAACCATGAAAATGAGGTCAAGGACATTGGACATGTAACTGACGGAAACTTCGTAACATGAGGCATCCATATACAAAGTATGAAGCATCCAGGTCTTCCATCTTCTAAAATATAAAGCTTTTAAGAAGTTAGCTAACACCGCCGCCGCCGCCGGATCACTATCCCTATGTCGAGCTTTCTGCGACAAAAGTTGCAGGCTCGACAAAAATCAATTATTATTGTCTTTTATAATACTAAATGAATACCTGCTTTTGTGTGTCACTTATCTTTCAGATCAAATCAATCAAATATGCCTCTCTAAAACTATAGTATGCAAACTGTAGTTTGTTATCCTCCCTAATGATTATTCATGTTATGTTAGATAGAGAATAATTTCGAAAACAAAATGATCTCTGGATGTCTTATATGTTCTGATGTGATGGTCAGTTAATATAAAGTTAGAATTCAGTAAAAAACGTGAATTGATTCTTGCCACCAAATCTAAGTAAAATTGGTCAAATAATATGTTTGTAGAAATCCATTTTTTAATTTGAAATTTACAGTTACAGGAAGTTTATAGAATGTTTTCCCAAAAGGAACAAAATTTGAAAATATACTAGCAGTTTCAGTTTCAAAGGAAAAAGTTAATTTGTAGTGTTTTACTCTCATTATGTTTTAGTCATAGTAACAATTCGCCTTTTCAGAACCTAAAGGACTATGGGTAACCTCATTGTTCGTACACCAAAATGATAATAACGTTACGTCATTGGTTCAATTGCCATTGTTTTGAACGTTTTAAACCAATCCCAACATTTTGGTGCAGGCTTTGAAAATATTACCCAGAATGCATTAGGTTCTGAAAAGGCAAATTGCCATGTTGGTTGGTAAGTTAAACCAAAATTGGAATAAAAATAATTTAGACCATGCTTAGGTCATGTGAACATAATACTTCTTGATGGGTTTTCCTGTAAGGTTCTATGGTTCTATGTCAACTACTGTGGATTCATTATTATTTGTGAGATACCAAATTTCAATGTTTCTTGGGTGTTAACCACAAACTTAATTGTTCAACAAAGTACAAATTTTCTATAGGCTTGTATGTAAGGCTTCAGTAAAACCTTGAAAATACAACTTTTCCTCAAATTCACAAAAATTGGTAACCACAAAAATAAATGAATCCACAGTATGTTTTATGGTACTAAACACCTTAGAGGTCAAACAAGGTCATTGGACATAATTCATAAATGGTATAATCTTGAAAACTGCCCTATTAAAACTTGCAAAACTTGGTCGAAACCATCATTTGATAGAATTCCTTTTTGAAAATTATCTATTTATCTAATGTAATGATAATGAGTATTGAAAGTCATAAACAAGAAAACCACATCAAATAGTCAGTTTAAGTTTGGTCCATTTTAGCCTATTGGTTTCAAAGAAGATCAGTGACTCTTTTCACAAAAAATCTTAAGAGTAAAATTACTCGTAAGTCATACACATTTCAGTATAACTTACGATCAATTTTAATCGTAAGGTTTTTTGTGAAAAGAGTTGCTGTTTTTTTTTCAGTTTAAGTAATGTTCAACAGATCACATATATCATGTGATGGCCTGTTGTCCCAGGGGAGCTGAAATTCTAGATTTGAAATTTTAAGCTGTGTCTGAATATTTCTTTTATTCTAAAATTAATAATTTTCAATATTAGTATCCCTATATTTCCTTCTTTTTTATATAATTATTCATTTATCAATTAATTTTATTTTATTTTGATTTAATTTTTTGTTGGAAGGAGTGTAATTTTTGATAAATGGACCCAATACCAATACCATACTTCAATAATCTGACCTACCTGTTTAATAGCCATATCATATTCTGGTACATTTCTTGGTAAATATCCTGGATCTGTTGTACTGGCATGGAACAAACAAATCCATAACACAACATTGAAAAGAAGAAATACCACATGTAACATAGGAAAGTCAGACCAAGTGTATGGTAAACACTGAAAATAGAAAATCTTATCATGTCAATAAATATCACATGTAACATAGGAAAGTCAGACCAAGTGTATGGTAAACACTGAAAATAGAAAATCTTATCATGTCAATAAATATCACACAAAACAGTTGTAATTTAGACATTATCTAATTATGCGTTTTTTTTATTTCATAATAAGGTTATTCTTAGAAGGAGCACCCAATTGCAACACTACATATAGGCCTGTTTGATTTATTTTCTACCCTTTGATTACTTGCCTTGAAAAGCAATAGGGCAAATCTATTGTTACTGTTACAATTTCAATTCAAGCGTCATGAGGATTAACTATATCATTTGGTTTTAATGATAATTATATATGATTGGATTTAAATACTTCCTATGATGATATTACTACCATAAAATACGATCTGATTTAAAGTCTAATATTATAGTTTATTATATACTAAGTACATGTAGTAAGTAAGTAAAATGTAAGTGAAATACAAACAATGGCAATCGTGCTGTATCCACCATCATCATCATCATCATCGCAAAGGCTTTATAAAACCCCTAATTTATATTACGTTCTGTCTTGTGAACTTTTTTTCGACCCATGCAAATTACCAACATCATAATAATTAACAAAACATTCATAAGTTTTACCCAAACTTATCAAGTCCACTTCTGGTTTGTTAGTAAAACAAAGAAAAGTAAATGTTTCTAGAATGAAAAATACTTTAGACATTACTAATGAGCTGAAGCCTTTAAAACATTTCTACTAGGAATTAAGATTAAATGAATACCTAATGTGATGTTTTTATATCAAACTAATGAGATAATGCACTCAAGGCAAGGATAAAACCACAGGATCACAGTGTGTTTAGTTCTGATCTAAAGCCTTACCATTATGACGAATATATTGAATACAACGAGGTAATGTTAATTTTCATTATCATTTCATTACATGTATGTTTCATTAAAATCCTTAATTTTGAATGGGTGACAACAATCGCAAAGCACTCCAATATCTTATTTTATTCACGTAAAAAATACAACAGCTATGACTGCATGTGCTTTCCGTGACAATGTTAAAACAATGCATAGAAAAACAAAGGAAAGCTTGATATAACTTTAAATTTCATGGATGTAGCATAACAATGCTTTTATAAAAATTTAATGCTCCATTCAAAATGTGCTTTGGTCAACACTTTTACAACCCAATAAAACTATAAATAGAATTATTCTATTTTTAAATACATGTAAATAGTAAAACTTACCAGTCCAACATACATAGGATAGCCCCAACACAGAAAATTAATCATGAAAAACAAAACTGGTTTCCTGCCACTGCCAAGTGTATTAAAAGCTAAAGATCTATAATCAAAATAAAACATGATGTAGTAAATAAATATCATTGGTCACAAATCATAACTGAACATTGCTTTCATATTTGCTTGTTTAATACCTTTTTTTGCAAATATTTCTTAAACTAAACAAAACATAATTCTATCATTGCCACTGTATATATGATGATAATCATTTCAATATAAATAGAATGAGAGATGTGGTATGCTTGCCAATTAGAGGCAACTATCCATAAAGACCAAAGGACAAAGTATACATTTATTAACTTTTTAAGCTGTACTTTACAGGTCTAATCATATACAGAATGGGCTTAAAAAAATTTAACCAACTATCACTGTCTTGTGCTTAAACTATGTTGGTCTATTAGTTTTGGAATATGTAAAATACAAAACCCATCTTGGATTTTAAATGATTGGTACAGATTTTTACTGTGATAAAATTAATTTTTTTTGGAATTTCATTCAAATGAGGACATTTGTGTTACTTTATATTACATTAAAAACTCTACATAAGACAAGATATTCATTACTAATACAGAAAAAGTTTAGATTTAAAAAAAAATATGTATGAGGGAAGATAACTTTTAAAAGATTTTTACTTTATTTTTCTTGCTATGTAGCAACAAATTAGATGCATTAGTCCCATTTAAAAAAAAAAAATTCCCATAAAGTATTCAATAAGATATTTTATCATTTCATTCTGGACACATATTTGTGCATCCTCCTGTATAATTGTAACAAAATATAACAATTTTGTACAATCTGTAACTTGAAAACAAGCTCTGCAACATATACATATCATAATAATAATACCAAGATATAAAGTTAATTTTTAGCAAAGTCTAAATAAAATTATTAACATTTCTAAAGACTTCCCTTTTAAGTTTAACATGTCCCAAGTTATGAGGTCGAAACTTCTTCCTTGAATGAAGTAATGAAAGTAACAATAAATTGTGGTTGTGTCAAGAGCATATATCCTGCCTTATTTCTAACTTGTGTGAGATTTGTGTTGACAAACTTCCCAAAATGTAAAAATGGCAACGTCCATGTTTTGCCTTTAGAAACCCTTGACATCAGTATCATAAAAATAAAGTGTGCTGCTCAAATACCCATGATATGAAGTGATTGAATGATATTTTATTCCAATCCTTTAAAAACTGTACAAACTTTTGCATTGGCACACTTCCCATACTATAAAACTCTATTGCATTGGTCAAGTAAGATAATTAAAATATTTTTGTCATTATAAGTGAGGGCAAAAATACAAATGCACTGATCTACTTTTAAGTTAAATGGAATACTATATGCATTTGAAATATCATGTCAGCAATTGATCTCAAGAAGAACTATTTTAGCAATGTAAAACATTTCTGTATATATATTACTGGACTCCATTTAGAAGGTAAGTATCATTTTACTCGTTACTCATCAAAACCTGTCAACTTTTTTTGCAAACATAAAACAATAGACTATTTTCATATTACAGACTTTTGACTCTGGATTATAATATGTGGTAGGAGTGTCACTTGGACATCCTGGTACTCGGTCAGGTAAGAGCAACCAAAAGAGGTACAATCCAACATATAATCAGTGCAATTTGGGGGGAAAGTTTACTGTTTTCCCATGATTTTGTCATGTATAGATAACATTAAACAGTTAATTTCCCCCAAAAATTGTACTGACTGTAAGCTTGATTTTACTTTTTTAAGTTGCTCTTACTTGACCAAGTACCAGGATGTCCTACCATAGATCAGGTAACCTGTCGAAAAAATATAAATTATGGAGTCAAAAGTCGGTAATATGAAAATAATCTATTGCGTAGTGTGTAAACATGCCAAGCAAGCAAATAGTAAGGACTGTTCCATTAAAACATGTTTCATCTAAATAAAAAGAAGGCACTTTAAAATCCCATGTGGATATCTTACCCTGCTTTGCATGGGAAAAAATGCATTCAATGTGCCTTCCCTGGGTGCAACATATTATTAAATGAAACAGCCCTTATGCAGTTGTTTGGATTCAAACCAATAAAAAGCATAAACCAAATAGCAATGCATTATAATTCAGCAGCAAAGTTAGCATCAAGCATTTAATGTATACAAGATCAACAAATGCAACCAATTGAAAAACAAATATTAATTGATTACAAAATATATTAACCAATGACTATTTAATGATTAAACACTACCAGTACCGGTAGTCTAATTTTTCCTAATTAGAAACAATTTTTTTTAACAATCTCCTTAGATGCAGAACATCTATAAGATGTGTTGGTTTCAGAAAGGTAATCTTTACATCGTTAAGTTATGACATCTTGTAAGGCTACAACTAGCACAGAAAAACATTAAACCAACATTAGGTATAATTGCTAATAACATACCATTCTGTTAACGTTATGTTAAAGTCACAGAAATTGTTTTTTAATGATAGAACTGATTTTACCCTTCTGAAGCCAAGCAAATCAAGATGCTGTGTATTATTATCAGTACATACATGTATAATATATAAAAAGTCTATTTAGAGAACAAATCCTTACCAACAATAGTCTTATTTGTTGTTACTGCTATCTAAAAGTACATTCGTAATCTCATTTTAAAATCAACCTTCCTTATTGTAATACACACTGAAATTCTATTAAAAGCAGAAAATAAAATCAAAAGGAAACACCCCACCTACAAACCCATTTTTTTTTTAAACTGGGTCGCACAGGTCCCTTGTAGCTTGAGAATGGTCTTTAGGAACTGGGGCATTCATCAGATATTGTTAGAAAACATTTATGTAACCCTTTAGTCAGGAATAGAAGAACATCGGGGTACGGGTTTCCCATATACAGCATGTCTAGAAAATTGGTGAGATATTTATAGATTATCATTGGTTATCTCAACGAGATTGATACTCTCGCTTGAGCCGGTACAGCGAAAGCGAGAAAAGCAATCTAGTTGTGATGACCAATGATAATCTGTTTATCGCTATTTTACCTATGAAGACGTTGTTAATTTCCTTGACAACGGCACGTGTTCCCTTAGTTTCTAGCGATAATTTTCATATCACTCGACTCTGCTGAGAACAGAAATTATCAGTCAGCAAGATCAAAGGAAAAATTCGTAAAATAGTGATAAAAACATATGTTTCGACGTATCAATTTTTGACTGTATGATATCATAGATTCCAGCAATGTTCTCCACAGAGCCTTTAAGCAGTATGGTAATGTGATGTTATATTGTTTGAATGTGATGCTACTGTAAATTCAGATATAAATGAGTGCATTTAATTATTAAGAATCCTTTACCTCTGGCAAAAATTTGATTCAGAAATCTAAATAATGTGATTGAAAAAATTTTATGAAGGAAAATCATTACTGAAATTATGAATGCAAGTTTTTATTAATGCAAACCTGTTACTGTCACACTTTTGGCACTAATAAAAACATTGCAATAATTTCTGAATGTACAGTATCATTTCTAGAAACAACAAGATGGTATTTCAAAATTCCCAGTTTACCGGTATCCTATATGAAATTTATGAGGAGAACATTGACTCAAGTGCTTAGGAAGGGTAAGCAAATTCTCTGGATTTACTCAATTGCTTAGGGTGATAAGCAGTCTGGCTTTATGTAAACAAGCAAAAACTCACATGCTTCTGAAGTAAAAGGTAAGCAGTTTCCTTTTGCAAAGATAAACTCAATTTGCTGTTCTATTAAATGTAAGCATTTACGACATCAATTCAAGTTGTTAGTACATGATAAATGTAAGATCTTCCAACAATAAAGACAGACCTTTCTATTTTGGGAGTAAGGGGGTGCAGTGGAGTTGGTGGGGTAAATTTCTAAGAACTTTATTTTCAAAAGTAAATTGGATTTGATTTTGATTTTTTGGTGTTTTAACGCCACTTTTAAGCACCGTTTTGGGCTATTTCGTGGCGGCCAGTTTTTATTGGTGGAGGAAGCCGGAGTGCCCGGAGAAAACCACAGAACTTCGATAGGAAAACTGACAATCCTAGTCAATTAAGATTGGAGTAGAGTGCACCTGCACGAGCGGGGTTCGAACTCGCAACCTCAGTGTTGACTGGCTAGTGATTACAGTAGTAACTACTTAGACCACTCAGCCACCAAGGCCCCAAAAGTAAATTGGAACACCTGTTTTTAAATGTGTTTAAAAAATCAGACAAATGAAAAAACCTATCCATAAAACAGAGTGCAAGCCAAGGAAATTTCAAGAATTCTGAAAGTAAAAAGTAAATAAATCTGAGAAGACATTTGAATGGACATATATTCTTTACATGTTTGAGATTTTCTTTATTTATTCTCTGAAAATGACTTTTTCTTTTTTTTTTTTTTTTTTGGGCACCATTTTTTTTTATTTAGGAAAAAAAATGCATTTTCATGGATACTTGATTTTGTAGTTTTGACAAATTCTTCTAACAAATCTGTAGGAAATTTGTATTCCATTGAATATTTTTCATCTATACCAATGTACTCCACTAGAATTAGTTCACCAAAAACGATAATGAATCCAAAGTAATTTAAAAGTTTATGAACATGAGGTAAAGGTGTGAATGAGGATGAATAAGACTGTAATCTTAGTCCATATATAATCTATCAGTACCATGCTGGCTGGTAATTTCCTTCAACCTATAAATCTGTTCATTCAACACTAAGTAAAGGAAATGTAAGAACTAAATAACTGGACCTACTGGACTTAGATACGAAATGCAGCCAACAGCAGGATGAGATAAGAGTATTCTTATTTGTACATGTATTTAACAAAAAAAAGATGTCATGAACAAATGTGTACTTACATAAGATCTATCTTAGAAAAGAACTTTTTTTTCTTTATTTGCTTTTGTAGGTAATCTACCATGTCTGTATTATTGTTAGCAGACGCTAACGTCAATGGAGTCTTTCCATCTTTGTCTTCCTTGTTAATGTCTAACTCATGCTAAAGAATAAAAGAACATATACATGTATGTGTACTAAAAATTATTGAACAATGTTGTTCTGAAGACAACTCAATCTTTTGGGGAATTTAAAAGACTATGAGTAGTTTCATAGTTGGCACAACAAAATATAATTATATCATGGGTTGAATATTCATGATTCAGGACATTTGTAACCAATCAAAACATTTTACTTAACTCTTAGGAACAGAATGCTTTAAGTATGAAAATGAATTTTCACTGTTCGTTCATTTCAACATTTAATTTTATTGACATCCTAAATTTGTAGTTTTTTTTTATTTATCCTATTAAAATTTGTTTCCAAGGTAAAAATAAAATCCCTATGATAGATTTTTTCCAAGGTACATAAATCCTCATGATAGATAAAACTGATGTATAGCAATTGTATACTACATGTATATCAAATATTTATGTTTTAATTACTGTAAATGTGAAAACTTTCAAACAAGGTTATTTTCACTTTTTTTTATGATCCATTGAATTGCTAGAAAATATTCTCACTTGCAAATAGTCACACAAATAAACAGCATTTATGTGAAGGATGCACTTAATGTTTAATATCCAAACTTAGCCCATGTGCAAAGAAGTTATTGCATTAAAACGCTATTGATTACAAGGAGGTTTCATCGTAATTTCAATCAGGCATTTATCAACAAAATGGATTGATTAAAATCAATATGAATTTGACAACTACAAACCTTAACATGCAATTCCCTAACAGCTTGAAAGTTACTGTTTATGCAAGCAAGGTGTAATGTTGATTGTCCATATTTATTTATTTCTTTGGGATTCAGACCACAATGGATTAAATATCGCATCAGTTCCATATGACCTGGAAAAATAAAATTTAACATCGCATAAACATGTATTCAACTAAATGTAAGGTTCATATAACTTGAATGCTATGAGTTATATGTAGAATATTTTATCTTCATGAAAGTTCACTTTCAGATATGCTTAACAACACAAATAACACACCACATCTTACCTTATATAGTAGTTTCACAATTTCTTGTTTTTGTGACATATTTGTAGAAATATTATATTTTCTAGCCAAAGTCAAAAATCATAAGTCTAAGATAATTCAATTTCAAATTGGTCATTAGACAAGTATTGAATAAAGAAAATTCTCGTTTTCACAAAAATTGGTGCATTTCTTTAGTTGTTGAGTACATTGTACATAAATGTATTTTTAAGGGGGTGGGGGAAACACAGCAGTTTTCAAAATAAAAATGTCCTTTCTTATGCTCTTCAACTTTATACTTTATTTATTCAATTTCATACTTTATTTATTTAGCCTTTCAAACTTTTCTGATTCGAGCGTCACTGATGCTGGTATCTATGATGAGTTTATACTTACCATAAAACACAGCCCAGTGTAAGACACTATTTCCATCTTCATCTACCATCTGTGGCTTGGCACCTTTTCCCATCAAGAAACTAACTAACACTGTATGACCGTATTGAGCTGCCATAATTATAGGTGTACATCCTTTATTGTCAACAACATTGACAGAAACTCCAGCCTGAAGTAAAATGTCAACTATTGCTATATGTCCATTCACACATGCCCAATGAATTGGATGGGCCCCTAGTTCATTATTGCTTGGCTTATCTATAGGCCCATTGTTGTCTAGGATATACCTGACTATTTCTTCATGGCCTCTATAGCATGCCCAGTGAGCAGGTGTATATCCTTTATCATCTTGTAAAGAGAACACTGAAGGTCCTTCTGCTGCTGATACTGCCTGGACAGATTCCAACAAACTGAAATGACATAATCTTAATATGCTGTATGTGTATTTATTATTATTTCTGGTATACTAATTTTTGTGGATTTCGTGGATACAGGTGACCCACAAATTTAAATGGTCAATGAGGTACACATTTCCGATACGCTTGTATGCAGACCTTTGTAAAAACATAAAAATAAAATAACCACAAAATCATAATTTTCCCTTAATCCACAAAAATGTATACCCAAGAAAATAAATGAACCCACAGTACATTAAACCTTTGAAGAGAGATGATTTCTTTCAAATGTGAAATTATATATATATATCGGTTTTAATATGACTGGGAATTCTACATTACAATATTTCATCCATCCAATGTAATAAACATATATCAATCAAATCAATGCATAAATTTTTATTCACACCCCTATTTTAAATTAATACAAACTAGTAAAAAAACAATAGAATACAAATGAATAAAATTTCCCTGTGATTTGCATAAAGCAACAGGTTGCAGTCTAGCCCTATAGTGGTTGATAATTACTAATGATGAAAATAGCAGTGGACATAGAATACTTCTTTGATATGATGTTTTTTTTATTAGTGAATGTATAACAATTGCGGTTTTTTATGTGGGACAAGTATGTTAAAAATCTGTGCAACATATTTTTCCATGTTACAGGTAGGGGTACTGGTATGCAGGTGTTTTATCAGTGATGCAAGTTATTTTCAAAGTGAGGTGAGTGTGTGAAAGTCTGTATAATGCATATTCTACATCAAATTATCATTTGTGCAAATTTGCAGATCTTACAAGATTGATTTCCTTTATTATTAGTGTGGTGAGTTGGCTGGTCTGAGTTGGGCGAGATTGAACTCATTTTTTTCAGTGGTGCAAGTTATTTTCAAAGTGTTGGACAAGCTGAAGTTGTCTGTAATTTTAGTTAACCAGATTTGCAGTTCAGAAGATTCCAGGCATTTTATGAGGGTCTGAATGGCGTTTACAGAATAAGGAATAATGGGCCAATACTGCTGAAAAATAAAGAATAAAGAAAAATAAGCAAAAAAATAATGAATAGAGAATAATGGTGTGCTTAAATATAAAGAATAGAGAATAATGGGTAAAAAATATAGAAAAATTACCAGAATCCTAATAAGAAGGGCCCATCCAACAAATAGTATCGTATTTTGAGCTACAAATGTACAAATTGTTGGTCACTATTGTCTCAAAGGATAATTGATTTCCTTTGAAGGTTGAACCTTTCAAAGACATAATTAACAAAAGAATTAGTAAATTAATGAATTGGATTATTCAAGTGAAAAAATATATTATGACTGCTGCTAATATAGTTAATTGAGATGGAATTAACGAAATTTGTTTCCATGAAACACGTCAAATTGGCAGTACTTAAGAGGATATTAAAGTAATTTTAACACCTGAAGTCTCATGAAAATAGAATAAAGATGAAGAAATCATATAATGAAATTCCAGTTACTTGATGACCTGATCGAATTCTAAAGTGAGAAGGCAAATTCCTAGGTGTGACCTGCAAAAATTGGGTTAGATATAAGGTATGCGGTAACAAATTTAGTATACTAGACCAGTAGTGACTGATCCCTATTTAAAATGAAATAAAGGAGATATATATTCAAAACACAAAACAACAAATTGGACCAATTTGTGAAAACAGAAGCTGTGCACATATTTTCACCAGAAAACAACTAAAACAACTTTGAAGTTCCGTTTCATGATCAATTTTTTTTTCAGATGACCAATTTAAAATCGACAAATCTCTGATTTTTTACTTTTAAGAATGAAATCTAATTTTTTGCCACTATAAAAACAAAAATGTCAATGCAAACTGTGGATTAATTTTAAAGTAAGGCTTAAAACTTTTAAAAATTTACTAAATTCTAACACACAACACAAACTTTTTAATTACATATACTTTCTGAACAGTATCAGAGTTTTTCATTTGGCATTTAAGCTAGGTGTTCCGACCACCTTCTTTTGAAAGCCGACCACCTTTCTATTTTAGGAGGTGGTCGGCTTTTTTTTCAAATTCCAGATTTTTTTTGGTTCCGCACCGTAAAAATTTAAATACTAATCTCGTCTCGCTGATTTGTTTTCATTGACAAAAATGGCTGATCGTCAAATTTCAATGTTTTCTTTTATTAATCGGGGGAAGAGAAAGGCAGATGAAGATGGTGATAAGAAAACTTCTAGGCCAAATAAGTCAACTAAAATGTATAGTTTAATGTATTGAAATTGTTAAATTTGAAAAAAAAAAAGCATCAAAACAACGGAAAAGGCATGCAAGCGAAGTTAAATATGAACAGGACTTTTTAAAAATGGTTAATCGTCACAGAGGGAGGATATTACTGTTCTGTGTGCCAAAAAAACAGCACTAAAGCGAGGAAAAGGACAGAAACTTGGATCTATAGGCCATGCATTCGCAGGAGGAGGGATTCCTGCAAAAGTCATCTGCTATCCGAGATGCTAAGAGAAAAAAGGGATAAATTATTGAAAAAAATCATCAAATCAAAGAAGAATATTTGACAGTTTATGTGACTACATCTATTTATTTTTGTTCAATTCCATTAAATGTGAATACAATACTAATCCTTCTTTTAGTGACCCCCACCCATAGTAAAAAAAAAACCTGGTTGGAAATGTTTACAAAAAAACAAAACACCTGGTTGCAACAATGCAAGTGTTTTTTTCAAAACACCCACCTTACCTTAGTGAAAAAAGGAGAACACTGAGTATGTTTTACTTGATTGTGTCATATACATTTTAAGTTCTTTATGATTATTAACTATAATCAGCCAAAATTTGTCGACAATACAGTACTGATAATGATATACCAGTTTTACGATCGCCAAGTACAGGAGATCCCATTTCGTAAATCAAGCAATGGTGTGCAAATTTTAGCATGATCTGACTGTTACCCTGATTGAATGGCATTGAAGATTGTCGATTTTTCTTCTTTTAACTCCATCCTTTCATATAACGTTGAATTGCTTTTTCATGCATTCGTATTCACTAAGTTCTGGTTAATCTTAGTTTGTTTTAACACGTTTCTAGGGGCACTGCAAGAAAAGAGAAGGAAACTGATCTGAATGTGGTGTACTTCTTCTTTTCTATATCTTCCTCCTGCTAATGAGGAGCACATCAAAAAGGATTTTAAAAAGGTCAAGACTCATATTACACGGACTGAATATCCACATGGAAAATATGGCTTTACAATGGTTTCGTAACACAACATTGCAAGACAAGGTCACTTCTTCTACTGTCATTCTAGCAGGCATGCCAAGCCACATAGACTGAGCATTCAGTAATGCTATAGTTAGCGGTGCGAAACAGATATGTCACCCCAATGCTAACTCGCCCCAAACCGACTCACCCCACTTTGAACACAACTCGCACCATATAAAAAGTCAGTTCAGTCCTACACAAACAAGACCAGTTAACTCGCCCGTTGATTTACAATACAATTATAGCTAGAGTCGGTACACTATAATTTAGCATATACGCCGTAGTGGTAATCCGACGGTCCAATAGTCCGACGGTCCAATGGTCCGACGGTTCGATAGTCCGACGCTTCAGTGGTATTATAGTGACCATTCATTACCGGTAGACCGAATTCTTCTGTCTCTATATAGCATATATTTCCTGACCTTCATTTGATTTAAAATTACTATTTTTGCTTTTTTCTATCTAAAAAAAATGCGATATAAAAAAAAAAATATAGAGAAAAGCAAAAATTGTAAAAATACAAATGAAGATCTGGAAACATATTCTATATAGAGACTGAAAAATTCGGTCAACATAACCGCCACCACCAATAGGTTGATCGGCCACGGCATCGAATGCATATACATTAATTGGAACCTGTCTAATGCGACACCTGAGTATTCCAGAATCCTTTAAACAAGAGACACTTTTTGTCGGTCCTATAGATAATACTTTCATTGTTTTTCAAACCGTGTATTTCAGCAACTTCTCTTATCCGGCATATTTTTTTCTGTTCAAGGTATGTAATATTAGACAGGTTTAATTGTATCTGTTTCCGAGTAGTAACTTGTATAGTCTTCCAATACCTCAGTATTATCATTGCCTCCAATCGGCGACCTCTTCCAATTACTCAATTTTATCATTGCCTCCGATCGTATTTGACACTCTCACATGAGATTTTAACCCTATATACCCTCCCCCCCCCCCCCGTGCGCACATTTTTAGAGTGAAACGCTTCCACGCTTCATACAAAATGTACTTCGGTCAACGCTTTTACACCCCAATTTTACAAAAAGAAGCATTCAATTCTTAAATAGATCATAGTGGCGAATGTAAAGAGAAATAGCCGATAGAAGTTGAGATGGGTTTAAAGGACAGATAAACACCTTAATTAAGTGTGACGGTCGGACGATCATAGGAACATTTAAATGCATTCGACTTGTAGAATAATGTGGCACCCTGTTTGATTATCGAATTTAACTGTCGGACTTATCGAACTGTCGAACTAACGAACCGTCGGACTAAACTTGAGGGGCGTCGGACTTTCGAGCGGACCCCCACTGGGACCGGGGGATATATGGTCATATGGTCAAAAGATTTATTTCCAAAAAGTTTAAGTGTAAATTGATCTAGTTTGAGTCTATGCCTAGATCAGATCAGATCACCGTGTATCATTGGTAGAGCGGATGTAGGTACTAATCAAGCGGGTGTGATCGATTTTGACCTGACACGGTAAGAAAATCTTTATTTTGTTTACATAATATCAATGTGTACTTCAATCTAAACATCATTGTTGTTTTAAGAAATGATTTGGTCGTAGGTTGATGAGAAGTCTCGTTATTTTCCCAAAACAAGAACGCTCACTAAAAACATGTGCAAATACTTGTTAAAGAAGTTGGCGCTCGTCTCATCCAATATGATTCTATATTCATTGCAACTCTTTTTCTGATAGAAGGCCACTGTGTGTGCGTAATAAGTATAGCTGTTTCATTAATTGGCATTGAAATCTTTCATATATATGTTATTTTTCGATATTTTATTCCGAAAAGAAGCGTTGTGTACGGTGTATAGCTGACCACATAAATCCTTCTGTACGGTGCATAGTTAAGTGAATCATAGATATAATAGCCATAGATACTATGGCTATTATAGCTATGAGTGAATGTACGGTATATAGCTTTTTGAGGTAAAAATCGATCACGCCCCGCTTGGTTAGTACCTATATCCGCTGTACCGATGATACACGGTGTAAAAATATAATACTTATCCTTCCAGATTTTTGTCAAGCTATGAAATGTGTTTCTGTGATTTAGAATTATTGATGTTCATAAGTTTTCAAGGAACAAGTTATAAGGGTCTGGCTAGGGATTACAGAAAAGAGAATAATGGACAAAACGCGTGTTGAATAAATGGCTAACAAATAAAGAATAGAGAAAAATAGGGGGAATAGAGAAAAGATATTAAGGGAGCTACCATTTGATTTTTATGGGGGGGGGGGGGCTAGGATGAAAAATTGTGTCCTGCCTTTTTTTTTAGTTGTAATCTCTGTCCATCCTTTTTATTTTTCACTCTATTCGGTCCTGCCCTTTTTTTTTTATTAGTTTATCCTGACTTTTTTTACATAAATTTTCATCCTGCCCTTTTTTTTTTATTAGTTTATCCTGACTTTTTTTACATAAATTTTCATCCTGCCTTTTTTTTTTTTGCAAAGTTGCTCATCCTGCCTTTTTTTTACTCAAAACTCCTGTCCTGCCTTTTTTCAAACCTCACCCCCCCCCCCCCCCCCCAATAAAAATCAAATGGTAGCTCCCTAATGAGCAACAAAAAAAAAAAAAAGAATAAAGAATATCGGACCCCCCCCCCAATCAAGAACCGTAGTGATTCTGATCTGAAATGAATACAATGAATATTCATTTGCTATTCAGCATGTAAACATAGAAATTCATTGTTTAGTTTCGTATTTTCATTTTTGAAATTATGGAGACGGCCACGGTTTTATAAATACAAATTACAAATTTTTATTAGCACAAACTCATCAACAATGGATCATCACACTTTACAAAAAAAACTTCGTTTTTCAGTTTCAGATTTCACAGTTCATTAACAGCTGAGACTACTAAGCACAAATTTTAACAGACAATCAATACAAAAACGAGCACTGTTCTTGTTACTACTCCCAATTTTAGAATTATTTATATATTTCGTATTTATTTACTCTTGTAGCTATGCATAACGAAATCTTTAATAAAATATGTTTACACTAATAATGTTCTAAAATGGAAAGTCTAAGATCTACATTAAGATACAAAGAATAGATAATGATGGGCAAAAAATATAAATAATACATATGAAATGACATTAAAAAATTTAGAAATATAGAAATTAAGGACCCGCAATTATACCTCCTGTATTATTAGTATGATTATGTGATTATCTACAGTCCTTTCGTTTTTGTATTGATTGTCTGTTAAAATTTGTGCTTAGTAGTCTCAGCTGTTAATGAACTGTGAAATCTGAAACTGAAAAACGAAGTTTTTTTTGTAAAGTGTGATGATCCATTGGAGGAGTAATCGTTTTATATGATGCTTTTTACTGTAGTAAATGATTTTAAATTACATATACTGGTGGGTGATTAATAACTGTATATACATGTATATAATTTTTTATTAAAAACCATGAATTTTGGAGGTGTCCCTTAATTGAAAGAAGTTATACAGATGTCACGAGTTATCTACCGTGATAAGATTCTCCAAACATAGAAATAACAAAACGACCCGCATTCCGAGTTATAATATCCCCCGATTCTACCACGAAGAACCACTACTAGCACCACCGACTTAATCAGTAAAATAAATACATTTAGGCAACTATGAGTTATTTAATAGACAGGAAGAGAGAGATAAAGATACACGAAAATAATCATTAAATGAAAAGTAAGAATAGAAATAATAAAAACAGAAAAATAAAAATCTGTATATGGACTACAGTAATTAAGCACCACCAAATACGAACTTAGCCCCACGGGAGGTATAGCTTCCCTCCCATTGGTCAGTCAGACAGACGGGTATATGGGTCTAAAGCACACTTTTGTGGTCTAAGTTAGTCTGTAGTCCAATCTACACAAGTCCAGGGGCATCTTAGTGTATTCATTAAAGAAAAATATTAGCACCACAAAAAACGAACTTAGCACCATGGGAGGTAGATTCCCTCCCATTGTTCCAACCGAGACGGTATATGGGTCTAAATCACTCTTTTGGAGTTTCAGTTTGTTTGTTGAGCTCGTTTGGACACAGGCACCTGGGGGTATAATCTACACAAGTCAAGGGGTCTCTGAGTGTATATTTCATTAAAGAAAAATATGAGCACCACTAAAAATGAACTTAGCACCACGAGAGGTAGCTTCCCTCTCATTGGTCCAACAGACGGGTATATGGGTCTAAAACACAATTTGGAGTCCTAATCTTATTTGTAAGGCTCATTAGCCCACAGGCAACTGTGGTCCGATCTACAAGCCCAGGGGTCTTTTGGTGTATATTTCATTCAAGTAAAATATATAAGCACCACCAAAAACAAATTTAGCACCACGGGATGTAGCTTCCCTCCAATTGGTCCAACCGACGTGTATAAGGGTCCAAAGCACTCTTTTGGGGTCTAAGTTGGTTTGTTAAGCTCATTAGTCAACAGGCACCTATGGTCCAATCTATACAAGTCTAGGGGTCTCTTAGTGTATATTTCATTGCAGAGAAATATAAGCACCATCAAAAAATGAACCAAGCACCACGGGAGGTAGCTTAATTCACTCCCATTGGTCCAACAGACGGTATATGGGTCCAAAGCACTCTTTTAGGGTCTTAGTTGGTTTGTTAAGCTCATTAATCCACAGGCACCTATGGTTCGATTTTCGAGTCCATGGGTATAATTATAATAAAAAAATGTAAGCACCACCAATTTAGTATTTAGCAACACGGGTAGAAGTTGTTCTCCCATTAGCTTTCAAGGCATTAAAGGCTTGGCAGACTCTGTAACAAAGAAATGCCTAATGATGTCATTAATCTTCATAACTTTAACATAGAAGGTACTAAAGAAAAGTTGAAT